GCTAGCAGCTAGCAGTTATGAAATTTGATGTGTGTCTCGATTGTTTATGATTCTAATTGGCTGCGAATTGCTGGAAGTAGAGTACTGTATGCCCAGCCAAAGGCCAGGCAGCAATCCTCCAATCACCAATGTGCCCACATAAGCACAGCAGAGCAGTGTTTGCCGTTCAATTCAATATGGTACGGCTAGATTCATTTGTAAGCAGTTTCCCGGCAACATGGCTCGAAGATGTGGTGCAACAAACATCAGTCAGCCATGACCGGCCAGAGCGAAAAGGTTGCCGCAACCGTGGAGGCCCCGGATCATTCACCATGATATTCAGATTTGGGCTGGGCGATCACTAATAATTAATATCTAATAAACTACGGCGTGCTTATGGTCTTGAACAGAATGATCGAACAGCACTCCTGCCGAAGTCTTTTGCGTATTTCCTGTTGCTGCCTGCTGCTGCTGCTGCTACCTGCTGCAACTGCTACTGATATTGTTGTTTGCACCCACCACTGCTGCTACATAGCTACTTACTGCTACCAAACGGCAGAGTGAGATATGTGTACTGTTGCTACTAATACTAATATTATAATACCACTGTTACTGTTGCCATGACTGATTGCTATAGTTCTCATGGCTGTTCTTCTGAATATTAGTATTCTCATTATGAGAAGGAGTAGTATTAGTTTTATTGTCATTGCATGGGTTGCCAGTTGCACTTACAATTACTATTATTGTGACTATCACTATTACTATTGCTATTACTATTACTATTACCATTACTACTACTACTACTACTACTACGACTACTTCTACTTACTATTACTACTACTGCTGCTACTGCTACTACTGCTGCTACTATACTACTATAGTTACTATTATTATTACTATGGCTATTGCTAGTACAATCACTATTGCAATTATTAATACTATTGCTTTTGTTTCGGCTATGACTCTTCTTATTGTTATTATTACTATTATTACTATTTGGGCGATGATTACTATTATTGTTACTATTACCAGTACTAAGACTAATATTAATGCCAATACTAATAACTATACTATTACGACTATTACTGCCAGTGCCAATTTTTCCCTGTTACTATAATGTCAATATTCCGGCCACTACTAATCTCTAGCTTTATTTTACCTTTATTTTACCTTCATTTTACCTTTCTTCCACATTTATTGTACCTTTAATTTACCTTTTCCGGCGTGTATAATCTGGGCCAGGTGCAGGTCAAGTTCAGCTTAATTTCAGGTTTATCCAGGAAATTTTCAAACCAAGGTTTCCAGGTTCTCTTAGGTAACGGTTTTTCTAAGCCTAAGCTTTTTCTCCCACCCACGCCACCCTTAGGGTTCGGCGGCGGTCAGTCCGCAGCGGGCCGGTGCTGAAATGCGCACCCGGCGCCGGCTGTAGGACCTGAACCTGCACGCCGAGCGGCGCTTTCAGCGCTATACATCCACACGACGAAAAAGAGAGTCGTCCAGTTTGGCGTCAGAGCTAAGAGTGCGACGGTTGTTTTGGACGTGATTGTGGAGTTGCCGTAAAGAATCATATCTGAAGAGCAAGTGCCGCAGCCGCTAGGCTTCATCTTCAGCCTACGTTTGTGAAATGCTACATCCATGCTGTCGGTGGTGGTCTTCCATGTCACATGGGGCCTCGCCGTGGCAATCAGAGACTCCGACCTGCGGTTGGATATGGAACATCTAGTGCACAGTGACGTGAACGACGAGTGTGAGGAGAAGCTTCGAAAGGCCATACGTGAGAATGCCAAGCTGGTGGCGGAGAGCGCCAGTCTCAGGAACACGATGCAGGACGTCGAGGATTTGAAAGTGAAAGTGGACAAGCTCAAGGGCCAGCTCGTCCCAACAGCGCAGAACTCTTCGAATGCCTCTGCCACGGATGACGGTGAATTCGGTATGGGATGTTGTTGTCGAGTGGGGAGGTGCCACAGAGACGAAGAGGGTGTCGATGGCACACGGGCGGTGGAGGTTCCAGCAGATCGCTGCTGCAAGCAGCAGTTTCTCAGTGCGCGTAACTGTCCATCCCCTTGGGAGAGTGCCTCCTCGGCTGCGGACTGCACCAGCGCCGAGATGGAGATGCTGGAACGCTTGAACCGGACAGCCGTGCCCAGCGAGAACCACCAGCAGTCAGAATGCCAGCACGAATTGCTGGCAGTCCGGGACGGCATCCAGAAGTGGACAGAAAGCCTTTCGCTTCATGGGCATTGGATCCACAGCATCCATAGCAGGCATCTCAGTGAGACCATCCAAGCCCGGCTCTTTGTCACCGGCTTCCCCTTTGAGGACGGTGCAGTGGGTGCCAGACTCTTTGGCATGGCTGCGGGCACCAAGCTGCTCATGACTGGGATGAACCTAGACTCAGACGCTTACAAGACATGGAAGGACAAAGAGCACGCAGGCAGCGCGTTTTCTTACTACTTGGCACGCGTCTTTAAAACAAAGCCGGGTTCTTGTTGAGAAGTCGTACCAGCTGAGGCGAACTGAACCGAGACACCGTCCTTGGAGGCATCCTCATGGGGCGGCTAAATGGCAGCGAGTTTGGAAAGTGTGACTTTGCCACCACCACGCAGACCTTTTGGCAGACCGCTTCTACCAGCTTCCTGAACGTCAACAACAGCAAGCCGCTCTTGATCCTCATCAATCACACTATGCGGAACTTGCCGGCCGAGTGCTCAGCTTTGTCAGAGGTACGAGCAGTGGGAGATTGAGGCTGAATGTTGCCTTGTGCGTTCGGTTGTGTGAATAGTCTGAGGACACTATGTTCTGGAAGGACGAGGTCTCGGGCATTTCACGGAGTCCACCACATGGCAGTGTCCGCCTCGTAACATTCCAGACAGGGTGTCTGGAGCTGGTGTCACACGGCGCATGACATGGCAAGTTGAAGGGACGTAGGGGTTCAGTCTAGTTGGGATGGGGATGCAGGGACGGGGTCCCTTACCCAGGTTGAATCTCTCCTCTCAGATCGCTGAGCAGCTCACGAGATTCCGAGCCGGGCGGCTTCGATGGGAAGAGGAGGTCACCAGCTTTACTTGTCAAACTGCCGGTGCACACCCGACGGAGGAGGAGAGGTATCTGCCCCCCTTCTGGCGTGTGGAGAAGCTGCGCGAGCATAACTATACAACTGCGCGCCTCCGAGCCCTGGGCTACTCTGCCCAACAGATGTGGGACGTTGGCTACGATGCCGCCGAGCTTCGAGAGGCAGGTTTCATGCCGGTGGACTTGAAGGACAAGTTCTCCTGCAAGGAGCTTCGAGTGGCTGGATACAGCCCCAAAGAGCTCCTTCCTGCTGGATTCACAGTGCAGGACCTGAAGATTGTCAACTACAGCGCCAGGGAGATGAAGAGTGACGACATCCTGGCGAAGGAACTGAAGAAGGGAGGCTACAAGGCCGGGGAGCTCAAGGTCGGCGGGTACGGCCTTGCGGAGATGATTGAAGCCGATTTCGATGTTGAGGAGCTGAAAAGCATCGGTTACACGGCCAGAGAGTTCAATGTCGCCGGGGCCGATTTTGCGTTGGTGAGCAAAGCGTAGCTTGGCGAGATTGGTGTTCCAAGAACAGTCATTCTTGGGGCTGTGAGGGCCTTGTGGCCTTGTCGGCAGCTTAGTCGAGATGTGTTAAGAAGTTCAGGTTCACTGGCAAGGAGCTGAAGCTCGCAGGCTACAAGTGCCTCGAGCTGCACACGCTCTCCATGGACAAGAAGAAGCAAGAGCTGAAGGGGAACACCCGCTTCCAGAACAGCGCGGAAGACACAAGATGCGACTATCTGGAGGTCTTGAATTGCACACTTGAAGACCACCAGCAGGCGAACAACTCCGTCCATTGCCTTCTTTCTCATCTCCATAAGGACCCAAAGAAAGTTGTGGACAAGAAGTTTCCGGCAAGCTACTTGTGCAGCGACCAGGGTAAAGCTCTCCACAAACACGGCATCACAGCTTTGATGCTCCGGGAGGCTGGCTACAAAGTGGGTGAGCTTCTTAACGGTGGCTGCCAAGTCAAGGATTTGATCAAGAACTACACCTGCGCTGAGATATTGAAAGCAGGGGCAGGGGTGAAACTCGAGACCTTGAAGAAGGAGGGTTGCACAGCGAAGGAGCTAGTGGAAGCGAAGACAGAGTACCGCCTGGCTGAAGGGGACGTCCGGCCGTTGAAAGACGCCGGTTTCGATGCGAAGAGCTTACACGAAGCTGGAGTGAGCTCTTGGGCTTTAAAGTCTGCCGGTTTCAGTGCGAAGGACTTGTACCAAGCTGGGGTCCCTGTCAAAAGTTTGAGGGATGCCGGTTTCCCTTCGATGACCTTGTTTGATGCAGGCGTGCCCCCGAATCAGTTGAAGAATGATGCCGATTTCAACATGAAGGCCTTGCTCGAGGCGTTATACAAGGACAGAGGGTTCAGCAAGCACGATGCGCTGGCCAAGCACTTCGCGTGTGCCGATGTGAAATCGTACTACTATTTTGTTTCATGTTGACACGCATGTTTCGATCCCAGCCTGACGACATCCGCGGCTGCATGTTCAAAATCGGATGCTGCAGGGAGGGGAGAGTTCACTTTGATCTCAAGCTCGCTTTGCCTTTCTCCTGCGCTGTCTATCCCTGCTCCCGACTCCGCCGTGTGGCTCTCCTTCTTGTAGCTCTGTTTCGTGAGAAGTGCCAGAGCTCCCGAGTTCTCTGGTTTGTTTGGGATTCGAGGGTGCCAAGGTCCTAAGGTATGGCGGCAATGTTGAACCGGGCAGGGCCAATCCAGAGGCTTTGGCTGTGTTGACTACGACTGACACCCAGAGATGAGGAACCGTACAAAAAAGGCGACGATTATGGAGTGGCGTGAGCCCGCTACAGAAATTTTGCAATGGCTACCCGGCTACCCCTTCTTCTTGTTCCTGAGCACCCTGCAGCCCCCAAATTGCGAATCAGGAGGATTTGAGCTGATCGAAGACCCCTTGAAAACCTCTCTCAGACCCTCCATGTGTGGAGATCTGGCGGTTTCCGAGGCCGCTGCAAGGGTGCCAAGAGCCGCCGCTACCGCCCTGGTGCAGCTCGGAGTTTCAGGCTTTTGCGGGTTGAGCTACAGGGTTTAGGATGTTTGGAGAGGGAACAAGAAATTGCAGGGATGTTGTCTCGGCGTGAAGATGTTCGCACCCCTGACGAGCAGGGGCTTGAACAATAAGCTTTGCAATGGTCTGAGCCTAAGCCCATCTAGAGTAGTGCTGAATTTTTTTTGGCTCTTCAAGAGGTCTCACAGATAGATCAATGACGCCAGCATGTGAGCATTTCAGAAGCATGAATGAAATTTCTCCAACCTGAATCCAAAACAGCCGCCTACGCTGCTTTGCAAAGGTCCAATGCGAGCAGCTCTCGGCTTTTGGTGTCCTGAACACTTACAAAGTCTGCACTACAAGGACACAAAAGCTCATGGGTGGACGTTCGCGTTACAAACTTCTAGTGTCCTGAAGACTTACAAAGTCTGCACTGCAAGGACACAAAAGCTCATGGGTGGACGTTCGCGTTACAAACTTCTAGTGTCCTGAAGACTTACAAAGTCTGCACTGCAAGGACACAAAAGCTCATGGGTGGACGTTCGCGTTACAAACTTCTAGTGTCCTGAAGACTTACAAAGTCTGCACTGCAAGGACACAAAAGCTCATGGGTGGACGTTCGCGTTACAAACTTCTAGTGTCCTGAAAACTTACAAAGTCTGCACTACAAGGACACAAAAGTTCATGGGTGGACGTTCGCGTTACAAACTTCTAGTGTCCTGAAAACTTACAAAGTCTGCACTACAAGGACACAAAAGTTCATGGGTGGACGTTCGCGTTACAAGCTTCTAGTGTCCTGAAGACTTTCAAAGTCTGCACTACAAGGACACAAAAGCTCATGGGTGGACGTTCGCGTTACAAACTTCTAGTGTCCTGAAAACTTACAAAGTCTGCACTACAAGGACACAAAAGCTCATGGGTGGACGTTCGCGTTACAAACTTCTAGTGTCCTGACAACGTACAAAGTCTGCACTACAAGGACACAACAGAAAATCTGCACTACAAGGACACAAAAGCTCATGGGTGGACGTTCGCGTTACAAACTTCTAGTGTCCTGAAAACGTACAAAGTCTGCACTACAAGGACACAAAAGCTCATGGGTGGACGTTCGCGTTACAAACTTCTAGTGTCCTGAAAACTTACAAAGTCTGCACTACAAGGACAAAAGCTCATGGGTGGACGTTCGCGTTACAAACTTCTAGTGTCTTGAAAACTTACAAAGTCTGCACTACAAGGACACAAAAGCTCATGGGTGGACGTTCGCGTTACAAACTTCTAGTGTCCTGAAAACTTGCAATGTCAGCACTACAAGGGCAAAACAAAAGCTCATGGGTGGACGTTCGCGTTACAAACTTCTAGTTTCTTGAAAACTTGCAAAGTCGGCACTAAAAGGGCAAAACAAAAGCTCATGGGTGGACCTTCGCGTTAGAAACTTCTAGTGTCCTGAAAACTTACAAAGTCTGCACTACAAGGACACGAAAGCTCATGGGTGGACGTTCGCGTCACAAACTTCTAGTGTCCTGAAGACTTTCAAAGTCTGCACTACAAGGACACAAAAGCTCATGGGTGGACGTTCGTGTTACAAACTTCTAGTGTCCTGAAAACTTACGAAGTCTGCACTACAAGGACACAAAAGTTCATGGGTGGACGTTCGCGTTACAAACTTCTAGTGTCCTGGAAACTTACAAAGTCTGCACTACAAGGACACAAGAGTTCATGGGTGGACGATCGCGTTACAAACTTCTAGTGTCCTGAAAACTTACAAAGTCAGCACTACAAGGACACAAAAGCTTATGGGTGGACGTTCGCGTTACTCCAGTGTCCTGAAAACTTACAAAGTTTGCACTACAAGGACGCAAAAGCTCATGGGTGGACGTTCGCGTTACAAACTTCTAGTGTCCTGAAAACTTGCAATGTCAGCACCACAAGGGCAAAACAAAAGCTCATGGGTGGACGTTCGCGTTACAAACTTCTAGTGTCTTGAAAACTTGCAAAGTCAGCACTAAAATGGCAAAACAAAAGCTCATGGGTGGACGTTCGCGTTAGAAACTTCTAGTGTCCTGAAAACTTACAAAGTCTGCACTACAAGGACAAAACAAAAGCTCATGGATGGATGTTCGCGTTACAAACTTCAAGTGTCCTGAAAACTCACAAAGTCTGCACTACAAGGACACAAGATCTCATGGGTGGACGTTCGCGTTACAAACTTCTAGTGTCCTGGAGACTTACAAAGTCTGCACTACAAGGACACAAAAGCTCATGGGTGGACATTCGCGTTAAAAACTTCTAGTGTCCTGAAAACTTACGAAGTCTGCACTACAAGGACACAAAAGCTCATGGGTGGACGTTCGCGTTACAAACTTCTAGTGTACTGGAAACTTACAAAGTCTGCACTACAAGGACACAAGAGCTCATGGGTGGACGTTTCTGCACAACAAGGATACAAAAGCTCATGGGTGGACGTTCGTGTTACAAACTTCTAGTGTCCTCAGAACTTACAAAAGTCTGCATTGCAAGGACACACAAACTCATGGGTGGACGTTTCTGCACAACAAGGATACAAAAGCTCATGGGTGGACGTTCGTGTTACAAACTTCTAGTGTCCTGAGAACTTACAAAAGTCTGCATTGCAAGGACACACAAACTCATGGGTGGACGTTTCTGCGCAGCAAGGACACAAAAACAGGACACAAAAACTCATGGGTGGACGTTCGCGTTACAAACTTCTAGTGTCCTGAAAACTTACAAAGTCAGCACTACAAGGACACAAAAGTTCATGGGTGGACGTTTCTGCACATCAAGGACACAAAAGCTCATGGGTGGACGTTCGCGTTACTCTAGTGTCCTGAAAACTTACACAGTCTGCAATACAAGCCTACATGGACACAAAAGCTCACGGGTGGACGTTCGCGTTACAATTTTTGTCTGGAACACTTGCAAAGTTTGCACAACAAGGACACAAAAGCTCATGGGTGGACGATCGTATTACAAACTTCTGGTGTCCTGAAAACTCACAAAAGTCTGCAATACAAGGCTACAGGCTACAGGACACAATAACTCGTGGGTGGACGTTCGCGTTACTAACTTAATGCAAGGCTACAGGGACACAAAAACTCATGGGTGGACGTTCGCGTCACAAATTTCTAGTGTCCTGAAACCTCACAAAGGACTGCAATACAAGGCTACAGGACACAATAACTCATGGGTGGCCGTTCGCGTGACTAACTTCTAGTGTCTTGAAAACTCACAAATTCTGCAGTACAAGGCTACAGGGACACAAAACTCATGGGTGGACGTTCGCGTTACTAACTTTTAGTGTCCTGAGAACTCACAAAGTCTGCAATACAAGGCTACAGGGACACAAAAACTCATGGGTGGACGTTCGCGTTACTAACTTAATGCAAGGCTACAGGGACACAAAAACTCATGGGTGGACGTTCGCGTTACAAACTTCAAGTGTCCTGAAACCTCACAAAGTCTGCAATACAAGGCTACAGGGACACAAAAGCTCATGGGTGGACGTTCGCGTTACAAACTTCAAGTGTCCTGAAAACTGACAAAGTCTGCAATACAGGGCTACAGGGACACAAAAACTCATGGGTGGACGTTCGCGTTGCAAGTTTCTTCTGTGTTGACAGCTTGCAAAGTCTGCACAATAATGACACAGAAACTCATGCGTGGACGTTCGCGTTACATTTTATTGGCTTGTCTTGAAATCTTGCAAAGTCTGCACAGCAAGGACACCAAAGCTCATGGGTAGACGTTCCCGTTACAAACTTCTAGTGTCCTGAACACTTACAAAAGTCTGCGATACAAGGACACAAAAGCTCATGGGTGGACCTTCGCGTTACAAACTTCAAGTGTCCTGAAAACTCACCAAGTCTGCAAGGCTACAAGGACACACAATCTCACGGGTGGACGTTCGCATTACAAATTTGTTTTGTCTTGAAAGCCTGCAAAGAGTGCACAACAAGGACACAAAAGCTCATGGGTGGACGTTCGTGTTGCAAACTTCCAGTCTCCTGAAAGCTTGCACAAGTCTGCAGTACAAGGACACAAAAGCTCACGTGTGATTTAGCTCTCTGGTACAGAGCCTCCTTGACCTTTGCGGCCGTGCCGGTGGCCATTTCAGCCCACAGGGGCCCCTTGAGCTGAGATCTACCGTGTAGCGAGAAGCGAGAAGAGTAAGCCACTGCGCGATTTAATCTTCTCCGCTGTTGTCAGTTGGCAGCGGAGCCTCTGGTTGGAGGTTCTACCGCAGCAGCAGCGTCGTGAAGTCCGAGGTGTTACCCCCGGACCCGATCAGGATCTTCTTGAGCTGCCCGACCAGGGACTTTGACTTCGCGAGCCCATGACGGAAGCCTCTGGAAGAGGTGAAGGAGGTTGGGTCTACCGCGACAAGGATCCGCCTCCCGGCTATAGCGGCCCTTTTGGCGCTGGTGCAGACCGGAACTTTCACGTTGGAGGCGGGCGGAGACCGTGCTTCTAGAAGACCGTCTCCATCGGACAGACTGGCAATGTAAAGCCCAGGTGACAAAGGTCAACACAGTTTGTAAAGAGCTGTGATTTAGCTTTCTGGTACAGAGCCTCCTTGACCTTTGCCGCCGTGCCGGTGGCCATTTCGGCCCACAGAGGCCACAAGAATGAGCCACTGCGCGATTTAATCTTCTCCGCTGTTGTCACATGGGTGGACGTTTGCGTTACAGATTTCTTTGGTCTTGAAAATTTGCAAAGTCTGCACAACAAGGACACAAAAGCTCATGGGTGGACGTTCGTGTTACAAACTTCTGGTGTCCTGAAAACTTACAGAAGTCTGCAATACAAGGACACAAAAGCTCATGGGTGGACGTTCGTGTTACAAACTTCTAGTGTCTTGAAAACTTACAAAAGTCTGCGATACAAGAACACAAAAGCTCATGGGTGGACGCTTGCGTTACAAACTTCAACTGTCTTGAAAACTGACAAAGTCTGCAATACAAGGCTACAAGGTTACAAAAACCCATGGGTGGACGTTCGTGTTACAAATTTGTTTTGTCTTGAAAACTTGCAAAGTCTGTACAACAAGGACACAAAAGCTCATGGGTGGACGTTCGTGTTACAAACTTCTAGTCTCCTGAAAACTTGCACAAGTCTACAGTACAAGGACACAAAAGCTCATGGGTATCGGATGCGACGGCCCACAACTTGCGGCTGGTGGGAGGAGTGTGAATGCCCAGGGCAATGAAATGCGAGCCAAAAGTGCAAGGATACAAACTTCGAGTGTCCTGAAAACTCACAAAGTCTGCAATACAAGGCTACAAGGACACAAAAACTCATGGGTGGAGGTTCGCGTTACCGATATCTTTTGGGTTGAAAACTTGCAAAGTCTGCACAACAAGGACACAAAAGCTCATGGGTGGACGTTCGTGTTACAAACTTCAAGTGTCCTGAAAACTTACAAAAGTCTGCAATACAAGGACACAAAGGCTCATGGGTGGACGTTCGTGTCACAAACTTTTAGTGTCCTGAAATCTGACAAAGTTTGCAATACAAGGACACAGAAACTCATGGATGGACGTTCGCGTTGCTAACTTCCAGTCTCCTGAAAACTCGCAAAGTCTGCAATACAACGCTTCAGGGACAAAAACTCATGGGTGGACGTTCGCGTTCTAATTTTTTGTCTTGAAAACGTGCAAAGAGTGCATAGCAAGGACACCGAAGCTCATGGGTGGACGTTCGGGTTACAAACTTCTAGTGTCCTGAACACTTGCAAAAGTCTGCAATACAAGGACACAAAAGTTCATGGGTGGACCTTCGCGTTACAAACTTCAAGTGTCCTGAAAATTCACAAAGTCTGCAATACAAGGCTACAAAGACACACAATCTCACGGGTGGACGTTCGCGTTACAATTTTTTGGTCGTGAACACTCGCAAAGTCTGCACAACAAGAACACACAAGCTCATGGGTGGATTTTCGTGTGACAAACTTCTAGTGTCCTGAATACTTACAAAAGTCCGCACTACAAGGACACAGAAGCTCATGGGTGGACGTTTGCGTTACAAACTTCAAGTGTCCTGAAAGCTCACAAAGTCTGCAATACAAGGCTACAAGGACACACAAACTCATGGGTGGACATTCGCATTACAAGTTTGTTTTGATTTGTTTTGTCTAGAAAGCCTGCAAAGAGTGCACAACAAGGACACAAAAGCTCATGGGTGGACGTTCGTGTTACAAACTTCCAGTCTCCTGAAAGCTTGCACAAGTCTGCAGTACAAGGACACAAAAGCTCACGTGTGATTTAGCTCTCTGGTACAGAGCCTCCTTGACCTTTGCGGCCGTGCCGGTGGCCATTTCAGCCCACAGGGGCCCCTTGAGCTGAGATCTACCGTGTAGCGAGAAGCGAGAAGAGTAAGCCACTGCGCGATTTAATCTTCTCCGCTGTTGTCACATGGGTGGACGTTTGCGTTGCAGATTTCTTTGGTCTTGAAAACTTGCAAAGTCTGCACAACAAGGACACAAAAGCTCATGGGTGGACGTTCGTGTTACAAGCTTCTTGTGTCCTGAAAACTTACAGAAGTCTGCAATACAAGGACACAAAGGCTCATGGGTGGACGTTCGTGTTACAAACTTCTAGTGTCCTGAAAACTTACAAAAGTCTGCAATACAAGGACACCAAAGCTCATGGGTGGACGTTTGCGTTACAAAAACTTCAACTGTCTTGAAAACTGACAAAGTCTGCAATACAAGGCTACAAGGACACAAAACCTCATGTGTGGACGTTCGCATTACAAATTTGTTTTGTCTTGAAAGCTTGCAAAAAGTGCACAACAAGGACACACAAGCTCATGGGTGGACGTTCGTGTTACAAACTTCTAGTCTCCTGAAAATTTGCACAAGTCTGCAAAACAAGGACACAAAAGCTCACGGGTATCGGATGCGATGGCCCACAACTTGCGGCTGGTGGGAGGAGTGAATGCCCAGGGCAATGAAATGCGAACCATCTGTGCAAGGACACAAACTTCAAGTGTCCTGAAAACTCACAAGTATGCAATACAAGGCTACAAGGACACAAAAACTCATGGGTGGACGTTCGCGTTGCCGATTTCTTTTGTCTTGGAAACTTGCACAATCTGCACAACAAGGACACAAAAGCTCACAGGTGGACGTTCGTGTTACAAATTTCAAGTGTCCTGAAAAACTTACAAAAGTCTGCGATACAAGAACACAAAAGCTCATGGGTGGACGCTTGCGTTACAAACTTCAAGTGTCTTGAAAACTGACAAAGTCTGCAATACAAGGCTACAAGGTTACAAAAACCCATGGGTGGACGTTCGTGTTACAAATTTGTTTTGTCTTGAAAACTTGCAAAGTCTGTACAACAAGGACACAAAAGCTCATGGGTGGACGTTCGTGTTACAAACTTCTAGTGTCCTGAAAACTTACAATCGTCTGCAATACAAGGACACAAAAGCGCATGGGTGGATGTTCGTCTTGCAAACTATTACATAGTGTCCTGAAAACTTGCAAAGTTTGCAATACAAGGACACAAAAACTCATGGGTGGACGTTCGCGTTACAAATTTCCTTTGTCTTGAAACCTTGCAAGAAGTGCACAAGGACACAAAAGCTCATGGGTGGACGTTCGCTTTACAAACTATTAGTGTCCTAAAAACTTACCAAGTTTGCACTACAAGGACACAACAATTCATGGGTGGACGTTCGCATTACAAATATCTTTTGTCTTGGAAACGTGCAAAGCCTGCACAACAAGAAGCTAAAAACTCACGACGGGTGGACGTTCGGGTTACAAACTTCTAGTGTCCTGAAAGTTGTTGCCGTACAACAGTCTGAAATGCAAGGACACAAAAGCTCATGGGTGGACGTTTGCGTTACAAACTTCTAGTGTCCTGGAAACTTACAAAGTCTGCACCACAAGGACAAAAAAAATCATGGGTGGACGTTCGCATTACAAATTTCTTTTGTGTTGAACTCTTGCAAAGTCTGCACAAAAAGGACACAAAAACTGTGTCCTGAATACTCATAAAGTCTGCAATGCAAGGACACAAAAGATCATGGGTGGACGTTCGCGTTACAAACTTGTAGTGTCCTGAAAACTCACAAAGTTTGCACTACAAGGACACAAAACTCATGGGTGGACGTTCGCATTACAATTTTGTTTCTTGGAAATTTGCAAAGTCTGCACAAAAAGGACACAAAGGTTCATGGGTGGACGTTCGTGTTACAAACTTCAAGTGTCCTGAAAACTCACAACAGTCTGAAATGCAAGGACACAAAAGCTCATGGGTGCATGGGTGGACGTTTGCAAGTTATAAACTTCAAGTGTTTGGAAAACTTACACAGTCTGCATTACAATGACACACACACAAACTCATGGGTGGACGTTTCTGCACAGCAAGGACACAAAAACTCATGGGTGGACGTTCGTGTTACAAACCTCTAGTGTCCTGAAAACTTACAAAAGTCTGCAATGCAAGGACACACAAACTCATGGGTGGACGTTTCGGCACAACAAGGACACAAAAACTCATGGGTGGACGTTCGCGTTACAAACTTCTAGTGTCCTGAAAAATTACAAAACCGGCACTACAAGGACACACAAACTCATGGGTGGACGTTTCTGCACATCAAGGACACAACAACTCATGGGTGGACGTTCGCGTTACAAACTTCAAGTGTCTTGAAAACTTACAAAAGTCTGCATTGCAAGGACACACAAACTCATGGGTGGACGTTTCTGCACAACAAGGATACAAAAGCTCATGGGTGGACGTTCGTGTTACAAACTTCTAGTGTCCTGAGAACTTACAAAAAAATGCATTGCAAGGACACACAAACTCATGGGTGGAAGTTTCTGCACAACAAGGATACAAAAGCTTATGGGTGGACGTTCGCGTTACAAACTTCTAGTGTCCTGAAAACTTACAAAGTCTGCAGTGCAAGGGTCCCAGGCTGTCATAACATGTTGGCTTTTGTGTCCCTGGGCTCAGCATTCGGCCAGGAACGCCGGCAAATCCACGATGTTGCCCAGCTGCCGCAGTTGCGGCTTTCCTGCAGCAAAACATGAGCCTTCGCCTTCCTGGCCGATGGCCGCCGATGGCCGAGGCGACGCTGGCTTCATGCAGCTGTGCGCACCTCGTGTCAGCAGCCCTTCTGGCGAAGAACATGTGCTTTGTAAAGTGCGAGGAGTCGGTCACACGCACTGTTGCAAGTGTCCTCAGGCCAACATTTTCGTTCCTTCTGCTACGAGAACTGCTACGAGCCCGAGAGAGACAAAGACTCGTGCTCGAACTTTCACTCGGTGTTGCTTTGCCAGGGCCAGCTAGGATGATGTGGGGTTCAGGAAGTTGAAACTTTGGGGCATTACTGTCAGTGCAATATAAGAACATGATATAGTGATGAAACCCGGGGCTGCAATCAATCAATCAATTAGAGCAACCATTGCATGTCTTGCTCGGGCTCTAAACTTTAGAGCTTGCTTCCGTCAGTCGAGTCCATACTCCGGCTAGTCCTTCCCAGAGAGTCATGCTGAATGACAGTTCTGGTTGGGACAGTCGCGATTTGAAACCTCGGATGCTGAGCACGAGCACTAACGTCATGTCCATGGCAGCCATGGGCCCGCTAAGACCTGGCTGCGGAAGTGACGCGTGGCCCGCATCCGCATCCGTCAGATGAGGCCGGCAAAACGGGGCGTGTTGGAGCGATGCGCTGCATGAGGGCTTTCCTATGCCTAAGGGGCCGCCCCACAGCCGCGACCACACTCAGCTGGGCTTCGGCTGTTTGGAAAGTGCGGCGCATGTGCTTTTGCTGCGCTGCCGTGCTCTCGCCGCGACAATCGGGCTTTCGCCGGCCAAAGGCATGTGGCACCAAACGCTTTTTCTCTCGGCATCTCTCGTATTGGCCCTGGGCTGGTGCAAGGTCTGAAAGGTGCAGAGAGACCTCTGCAGCCGCCGCAGCGAAGGAAGCCCTCGAAGATTTGAGATGTTTAGCACGCAAGCGATAGAAGAACCAGGACTCGGACTGCCTTTAGGGATCAGCGAGAGTGTCTTGCTCACGTTGTCGAGAACCCACTTCTTTGCCAGGACACCCGCGCACAGATTGATGTGCTCACACAGTCGTCGACACTTGCATCGCCTAGTGCGCAGGAATTGGTGGATTTGGCATAGGCAGCCTGGTTCGTGGTTTTTGATGCCATGGCATGCACAACTGCTGACCCTGCATTACCCTGCTCCACAGGCGCGTGCCGTTTTGGAGATTCGCGGTGAGCTCCCTTCAAGAATGACTGCGACAGCTGCTGCTTCCCTGGATGCGCCCGGCGTGAAGGACCTGGCAGCTACGGCACGGGGATTTGCAAAGGTGGTCTCCAAGGAGCGGCTGTCTTTCGACGAGGTCAAGGCGACACGGCTGCTACAAAATTCAGACCAACCGAATTAGGCCAAAATGTTTCACACCGAACGTGCATCAGTGTCAGGCGTGTGCTGGCGTGCTTGGCAAGGAGGCGAGTGCAAAGGATATCTCAAACATTGGCCGGGGCTGTGCCAAGGTCGTACAAAGCGATTCATCCTTGTCAGAGGCTCTTGCTCGTGCGGCCAACGCTCAGCTCCCACGGTCCAACCCGCAGGGTCCCTGCAACCTTTCTTGAACCTCCGCTTCTCCACGGTCTTGCAAAACGCCAGCTCCAAGCAAGACAGCCTCCGCCGCCTCATCGCGGCTTTTGGAATTTACTTTGCAAGGCCCTGCCAACTTGGCTTGGAGACTTGGGCGCTCGGACGACAAGTGGGGGTCCCCTTCGGAAGACATTGCCGGCGCCGCGACCCCTTCCCTTCACAGTGGGGCCTCACAGGCAGCCTCCAACTTGGCCCGGAGCCGTGGGAGCCAGGGCGTGGTTCACGAGGCGCTGCTGCAGGCCGCTTTGTAAATGGGAGAGTTCCAGGAGCTCAAAGCCCAGCATCCGGCCAACACCGCACAGAGCCTCGGACAGCTCCAAAAAAGGAGCGAACCTTCCACGGCCGCCGCCACAGGAGCGGTGGAGGCGAAATGCCGAACGGGCGGACTCAAGCTGCAGGAGCTCGCGGCTGCGGCGTGGAACCTTGGGGCCGCGAAGTGCCGCGGCGACCCGTCGCTGTCAGCTGCAGCTGATGTCCCGAACTTGGAACGCCCGCAGAGATTAGAGATTGGTGTTTTTGTGAGGACTTGCTGACTTGCCAATCGCTGAGGCCGGGCTGCGAGCCGAGGAGCCTTGGAAAGCCCAGGAGGCGTCGAACGTGCTGCGGAATCCCGGCACAGCTCAGGCGCCCTCGTCTTCGGTCGTCGTTGGTGTTGGTCGCCGTCGTCGTCGTCCGAGACTCTTTCGACCTCTTTCGACCACTCGTGCTGCGTGAGGCCGTGCAAACACCCTTTTCGAACGTGCTCATGGAGGCAGCCTGTCTGACCACGGAGCTCTCAGCACAGGGCATTGCAAACGCGGCGCAATCCACGAGCACTCCGGCATCAGAGCATGAGCCAGCGACGAGGGCAGCAGGAGCCAGAGGTGTGGAAGAGATCAGCGAGCTTTCATTGCAGGGACTCTCCAACTGTGCACAGATGCTTGGCTTTGCCTGAGCGTCCTAAGTCCAAGTTGGTGTCTGGAACAGTGGGTCTTTGCCTTGCAATCAAGCGAGGACTCCTGGAACTCCTGCGGCCTTGGATACGCAGTTGCCGGAAGCTGCCGCAACTCGCTTTTGCAGCTTGCCTCTCCGCGACTGGGATCCTGGTGCTCGAGAGAGGCAGGGGAAAATTCCTCACTCGAGGCTGACTTAGCAGCATAAGTGGCCCGTGTTGTGGGTGTTTGCCGGAGGGCGTAGGGTAGCGGCGGAAGTTCGGAAGCGGCTGCTTTGCGATTGTCGCACAGGCATGACCACCTGCTTGGTCTCGTTTCTGCACTGGCTCTCTCCGCGGGAGGCCAAGCGAGGGGTTCTTTTTTGGGTCGAAGTGCCTCTGTCGGAGTCCTGTGGCAGGTGCCGAGCTCCCTCCCTTGGTGGATGTCGCCACTCGCGCTGAGGAGCTTCTGAGACGGCGTGCGCAGGAGATGGATGGCCAACATTCACGAGCGATCTCGCCGGACTTGGACGAGTTCAGGCCCAGAGCCTTCGAGAGGCCCGGCAACCGGCCCTGCATTCTGCTGGAGGGAGCTGAAGCATGCGTCTTGTGGAAGCCACCTGGCTGGACGGTGTCCGTGGGAAGCTTCGACGAGGACGAGGAGGAGAAAGCCTGGCGCAGCGGCGCGGTAGGCCAACCACTGCAGTCCTGGGTGCTTGACAACCTGGGACCTCACTGGCCCATCGCCCGCGATGAGAAAGCCGAGTTTGGCTTGGTGCACCGCCTGGATCGGGACACCTCTGGCCCCATACTCTGTGCAAAAACCTACCGGGGATTTCATGGACTTCAACTGTGCCTCGTTCGCTTCCAATTGCGCAAGGACTATGTTTGCCTTTGTGAAGGCTTTCTGTCAGTCCTTGGCCTGCTGGACGCGAAGCTCCGCGTCGAGGGCTCGGGGAAATCCCTCCGCAGCGTCGTGGCGCCGAAGGGCCGCGGGAAGCGCGCCGTCCTGGAAATCCTGGAGGTCTCGCATTTCTTGACCGAGACTTCTGAAGCCGTGAGCCTGGTGAGGATCCGCTTGCGCACTGGTCGAATGCACCAAATCCGTGCACATCTGAGCAGCCTTGGTCACCCCCTGCTGGGAGATGTCCTCTATGGATCGCCCCGTGCTTGGCTGCCCCGGATCTTTTTGCACGCCGCGTCTGTCGGCATCAGAGTACATGGGTTGCACGGCGAGCCCTTTCACGTGGACTGCGTACTTCCACCGGACTTGCAGCAAGCTCTGGGGCGCTGCGCACCACTGGACAGCTCGTCTCGGTCATGTCGCGAGAGCTGGCTGAGCGGCGAAATAGACAGCATGGAATCTAAAGTGAATGCTCTGCATGCTCTCGAAATTGATATCTCTCCATTCTCCCGTGTGACATTAGGCCTGAGTTGCCAGAGCTGCAAGCCGTATTCTCCAGGAGGGGTTTCTGCCCGAAGCGTACAGGTTCGACCGCTTTGGGTTTGAGGGTTTAGGGTTTAGGGATCTGTCACTGGTGTCAATTGTCCTGGAGATGCTACATCTTGTTATGGTTACTTGGTCACGAGCATATGCAACCGACTAAGCTACTGAGATCCCGTAAGATCTGTTTGTCAGACTTTCAGCGCCGGAGGTCACTTGAAGCCAGGGCTTGAATCGGCGCCGGAGCAAGCTTAACGTGAACAAGTGCTCCTGAAAGTTTCCACTACCAGCACCAACCCTGCATGCTGCGACTGCAAACTCGTTGAAAGCACCACTTCACCTTTTCACCTTCTTATTCCAGCGATCAGCCTCGACGATCCCGTGAAATCGGCGCAAAACAGGCCGGGCCCCGTCAATGATCGTGTCGGTCTTGGATTGGAGTTTCAGCCATGTCATATCGCTATAGATGTCGGCGAAGGCAAGAAGACTTTTATCACTTGTGTTTGAATGTTCTTCCCGCTCGGATTGCTAGGGCAATGACGTGCTTCAGCTGCTTTCCGGGTATGAATGTCTGAGCCCTAGCATGATACGCTGGAATGGTACCGGACGCTTCGATCAAGCCGTTTAAGTTGGGCTTCAACTTTGCACTCTTGACTCAGCAGCCACACGAGTTCTTTCCAACGACAAGCCTGGTAGACTGTGCTATTTGTGCATGAGGTGTTTGACCTTTTCTGTGGGCCCAAGAAGCAGGCCTTGCGGACCATCGTTTGGTTGAGAACTAAGGACTGACATTTTGTGTACAGTGTACAGGTTCGGATTTGTTCGATCTCTGCCTGGATCCGGGAAGGCACCCCGCCTTCGCATTCACTCGGTGAAGGTGGGGAAGGCAGGACAGTACATTCAAAACCTGGCTGGCTTCTGCAGTACCTTGCGTCGAGGAAGCCTCATCCTTTTCATGACTATTCGTGGGAGCTCCATCGGTTGTTCTTGTTCTGATTCAGACTAGAGTGGAGCAATGCGCGTCCAACTCTCGGGATGTCTTGGGTAGGTGGTGCGGTATGCTGATCCTGCAGGCCAGCTGCTCTTCACAGAAGGTTACGCTCTGCCAATCTCGTGCCGCTCGTGTGCTTGTTCCACCTTGGACTTCTCAAGACTTTGCTCAAGATGCTTCAGATCTTATAACAGGGTTGCGTTGCAGACATGGCTGGGCAGCAAACGGGTGCAATACAGAAGCAGAGCTTGACCCATCCAGGCAGTTGGGCTGGATCTTGCGCCAGCTATGGACTTCTGAAAGTCTGCTCCCATCACCATCTTTGAAGTGGGATTACAAGCATATTTCTGAATCCTGCGGACCATGCTGCACGCTGCCACCGTTGTGTCGAATGCTTTAGCCCATGCGCTGGAGACCAAGCGAGATGCAGGAGAGTCAGCAGAGCGCAAGTTCCTGCTGTAGATGGGCGACTTGGAGCGCACGCAGGCTCAGAGGAGCAAGTTCAGGTGACGGGAATCTCAGGCCCTATTGCACATTTCAGCAAAGTCTCTGTTGTGACGGCAACACGGCATGCAGAACGCTGCAGATTTCCGCTGCTCTGGTGGAACTTGTTGTGCTTCCGTACTCTGCTCTGCAAGTGCTACGAGAGTGTCCATTTACCCGGCGGCCAGTGCGACCTCAAGCTGTGGTCAGGTTGGAAGTTGCGTAGGTTTGTGCATTGCCATGCGGCTGGCACATTGGCGTTGTGGAAGCAAAGCCCGCTTCAGCATAGTAGCTCGAACGTTACGGGCACCAAAGATGAAGCGACAAGCAGATCGGTTGTCTAGCTCAGTTTCTTCTTTTCTCCCACCCTCCGCAGTCCTACAGACAATGCGGGAGGAGTCGGGAGGAGGAGAGACGATGTGCGATGCGTGCTATCGGTTGCGTTTGCCGCCGGCACCGGCTTTTGAAGCTGACAGAAGCATGAGGTCTCACTAGGGCTTCACCTTGCAGAGTGTCAGAGGGCTGTCCGAGGAAGCACTCTGAAGATCTCCAGTGAGGTTTCACGCTGGATAGTGCACAAGTGCTAGATCCAGGTCGCTTAACTCTAGGCTTTGCTTTGAGCCCGAATCGCGTCCAGGAAGTTTACAGTTCCTTGCTAGGCCAGGAAAGACTGTCAGCATTTGCGCATCCCGCGAACAAACGAGCGTGTGCGAGTTGCATCTTTAAAGTGTCACGGCATGCATAGGCTGGAGGGTGGGTAGCTTGTACATGAGAAGACTGGAGATGTTGGCGACGCAACATCGTTGAAGCATGACTGTGACAGGAGCTCTTCCGTGAGGCTCGGGCCGTGTTCTCCTCTGGGGGGAGTGCTTGGCCCGGTGCCGCTAACAATAGCACCTAGGAGATGCACTTGAACAGAACTTGCCCTCCGCAAAGGTTTGGTTGGCTAAGTGAATGGGGCTATCACGACGACGTGACACAACAGGTAGCACGCCGTTATCTCTGTTTGTCTGACAAGGTGTATTCGTGCCAGGTGTATCTGTGGCAGGTATCAACAGCTGGCCGCCGTTATTGCCTGTCAATGTTACTCAGGGCCGAGGATCTGGGTGATATGGTTTGGCCTGATGCATGCCTGCGCAGGCCTTCCAGCTTGCACGCCGAGCCCTTCAGAGGCAGCGATTTCTGTTTTTCACAGGTGTTGTCAGCTCATTGTCACGTTTCTCCAAGTGCAAAATTCAGCTGCCCTTTGTGAGCTTTGGGGTTAGCGCTGTTTGTTCACGTACAGCCACTGTGCGAGATGAGCTCCTTTCTTCCAATGTGTGAAGACTTCGTCAGCAATCGTCTGCATCGTCAGGGCCATGTTGACGAGCGAGATGTCTTGGATGCGAGGCTTCTGATGTGCAGGAAGAGTTGAAGAAGCTCCGTGGTGACTTGGTCCATGGCTTATTCCAACCGCTTCTGCGCGGCGGACACACGTGCGGACGGTTCAGCACATTCAGTTTCATGACTGAGCGGTTGTGGAGCTGAATTCTGTATAAGCCATTTAGCCCTTTTCATTCTTTCCTCACCTTTTTCAAATTCCCAACTCGTCCATGACCATAGGCCAAAGCCCGCGATGAGCTGCTGCCTGAGTGCCACCTGCAGGGCCAAACGCGAAGTGAAGATGGATGGGCGAGGTCCGTCGAGGTTTCAAATTCATGTAAGCCATATTTCCAGTGGCAATGCTGCTGTGAGAACCTTTCTGTTGAGTTGATGTGGACAAAGATGGCGTAGGCCCGGCAGGCAGGAGCCGTCGTGCGCAGCTCCCTTTTCCCCGTACGTTTCGTCGTCGCGAAGCTGTTTTTGCCGAGGCGTGCCGCTTATCAACTAGTCGACAACTCAGGGCGTTTTTTGCACTTCCAGGCTTCCAGGTGTAGAGCTTGCAGTTGATGGCTGGATAGCTGGGAGCTGTGGTGAAGAGTTAAAATGCTTGATGTCATCAGCCAACGGCCGCTCCTACCTGCAGTCAGCCATCAGGGCACTCAGGTTGTCTTTCAGACGGAAAGGACCGATTTTCGGACATACGTCAGTGCGTGCTGGCATGCATGTGCTGCGCTGACGACACAGTTTTGTGGTACGTACGGTCTAGGTTCACTCCGGATGTCATGTATTTTTCGGGAGTGCACTAGTGGCAAGTTCAGCCCGAACTTGCTACCGTTCTCAGGGAGTGTGGAGTTTGTGTCACGGGCAGGGCCGGAGTGCTCTCACAAGACCAACACATTTCGCCGCCCGATGTCCGTGGTGCCAGCCTTCACGACATCACTGCATGTCCAGATGCCAAGGCAGCGGAACAAGCTGCGCGGCAAGCTGAGGCAAGATGAAGTTACAACGTAACAACAGCGTCTGTCCAGAGCGGCGAGCCAGCTCATCGATCTGTTTCTGTGCGCGTCTGAAAGCGTCCTATCAGCTGGCCCGTCGGTGAGAAGCCACACGGGTTGCAGCCAGCCGTCGAAGTACTTGCGCAGGTGTACAAAGAGATGGAGGCCTGTGGCGGTAGAAGTTTCAGGACTCTGCATCAAGTGAGAGTGACGTTCCGTCAGGGCGCACTGCGCTCGCAGTCCGGAGCTCAGAAACTGTCGAACAGCTCCAAAACTGTCTTGTAGAGGCATTGGCGGGCAATGGAACGCAGACCACTAAACCCTAAACACCCCGAGCCCTAAGCTAGCTGTTGCGCTCCAAACCGTGTGATCCGCGTCCGAGTAGCTTGCTAGACCTTCCTCAGCCCAGGCTGCGGAGTCAGGATGTGGAGTTGAACTTCCTCAAAGAGTCCAAACCTCAGTGGCTCATACAGGGTAACAGAAAAGGGCAAGGGTTTGGGCTTTCAGGGTCTAAGTCCAGCCTTGTAGTTCAGTCGGAGGACCCTGGTCGTCGAACAGCGACGAATCCGGCAGCTGAAAGAGCTCGCCTCTCAGCCTCTCACCTCTCATCCCTGACTGCATGTTGCAAGCCGAGATTGACTGAGGCAGGTGTCGCGCCTGAAAGGCGTGGATACTTTCGCAAGACGTCGTCATGGAGGGGTCGTTCTTTCGCCTTTACGGTTAGTGGCAAAAGTGAAATCGCCTCTGATCGAGTCCCTCTGGAGAGATGCTGAGCGATTGTCATGTTAATCTTTGGTTGTTTGCTGTCATCATCCTGATGCTACATACATCTTTATTAGCAGGCATCTTTGTGCGCACGAATCCGCCGATTTAGCACCATGCAGGCGAGGCCTCCGGAGGAGCACGTGGCATGCTCAGGTTGTTTCCAGATATGCACTTCGACGGTTGTACTGCTGATCACAGCACTACAACAATGCTGGACCTGGTGTGCGGCTTGCCACGCAGACATGTGACCTTGATGACACCAGGACGCGGTGGGCGCATGCCAGAGGATGCTACAGGCTCACCCGTGTCCGGCAGACAGTCTCGCAAGGGCAGGGCTCATGTTATGTGTTTCAGATGATGTGAATTGACAGCATTTTGGAACTCACAGATCGAAGTTCGCAAAAACGCCAGGCTTCCGCGAGAACGCTGCAGATGCCTCTCGTCAACACAGTCTGCATTGAGTCTGACACAAAGCAAGATCTCCAGATGTTGCTGGACGGGAGCATGATGAAAGACCAGAGATCGCTGGAGTTAGCCTTTGAACTGTGATGTTGTACCTGCTAGAAGGCAGGGCTGGGCCCCCCTTCTAGGTTGTCCTACCTGCTGCTCCATGCATTTCAAGCCCGCTCAGCCATTAATCCATTTATGGTCGCATGGACATCTGTGCGAGTGGAACGTCTTGCCTAGTGTCGGGCAGTGTCTTCGCCAATGCGGATATTAAGGACGAGATTCTGTTTGCTTTATGGGTATGGTGTGTTACAAGAGCGAATGGAGGGGTTAGACCACTACAAAATGGCGCAAGCCCCCATAACTTCTTTCTCATTTGACATCTTTTGTGTTTGATGTTCCGTGAACTCTTGTACGAAGCTTCGCTCTGCTTCCGTCCATCCGTCCATGCCCAGGCTTCGGGCTTGTTTGGTCATGTCGATGCCCGGAGCAAGGCCAGGGATGGCATCGAGATCTACAGCTCAGAATTGGAGATGAGAGCTTCAGATACTCATCCCTCTCTTGGGCGTCCTTATCGCTGGGTCCAACCAAATCTCGCTCGGGCGTGTGGCCTTTCACAGTGTTTGGAGTGCAGAGATCCAAGTTAGTCGGATTAAGAGTACGCAGCAGGTGGATGATAGCCTTCGGCAACCGCTGTCACTGTAGTCCCTTAGCCGGCAGAACTGTGCTTCAGGACCTGGCGGAGCGGAGGCGCATCTTCAAGGCAAGGGTTTAGGGTTGGTCAGGGGAAACAGCCCAGGACAGTCGGTTTTGATGCAGATGTGATTGGCGCGTCTTCTTTGCCTGGCAGACGTTGGTCCTGCAGCATCACCCGGACAAAACCGGGCGAAGCAACGCAACCGTCACGAGCTCGGTAGATTCGCATGATTCTGGATGGCTTGACTCCAGCTCTTCTTGTAGGCTTTCCTCCATCTGATGGCCAATCGCGACTTATTCTTGGCCACTGGGCGAATGTGAAAGTGAAGGCCAGGAATTGAGCTCAGCATGATGCTTGCCTTGTTGATTTCGGGCTGTTGGGGGTTTGCTTGCACCCATTTTGTGCGCGATTGCAGGCAGACTGAGATACTTCGCCTGGCCCGCGACCTCGAGTGGAATGCAAGAAATTGCAGTTGAAGGAAAAGCTGTCCGATTTGAATTGGCCCGGCGGAGCACGACTGGCGAGGGTATGCACGTGCTGTTGCACATGATGATCCGACGAACCATTGCCTCTGCAGTGCTTGTCAGACTTGCGGTGGTTAAGGTAATTGCATCACCTAGCGGACCTAGTTCAAGGTGCGACAATGTGTGAAGCTGGCTCGGCTCAAGATACTGGAGGAACAAACACAGACAACTAAGCACTAACTTCGCCGTACTTGTTCTTGACGTTCCTTGGTTTCCCACTGAAGCAGAGCACGAAGAAGGTATAAGCCCTTTCGCAGCCTCTAAAGCAAGGTCAGGCCAGGAGACCAAAGCCAATCCAAGCGAGTGTGGCGATGCAAAACAGCACATCGGTCGATGAGGCTTGCGAGAGACATTTGGGGAAGTGATGAGGCAAGTACGACGGCCCTGCAGGCCCTCTGCCGCAAGGCACGCCTGGAGATTCCGGGCTTCGTGGAAAAACTGTTGCCCCAGGTTGTAGAACTGGTGTCTGGACCTGAGTCGGGTCTCCAATGCCAGCGTTTTCTGAACATGCTGCCGCGTGCTCAGGCGGTTTTCCAAGCTACTTCCGCAGGGGGAGGAGCATGCCATTCGAAGGCGTTCAATAGAGCACTTCGTGTCGTGTGGGCATGCGGGCACGGAACGTCGCTGTGGGTCAAAGCTCTCTTTCAGCACCAGGGGCTCGCGCGATTTCTTGGCCTCCTCCCGAGAACTTGGGGAGCGCTCCATGGGAACTGTGCACGCCTCGGCAAGCGCAGCTGTAGGACAGCGCTGTGGCACTCTGAACGAGGGCTGACGAGGCGTAGGATGTACACTGCACAGGAGATGTTCTGCAGCTCTAGGACGAACAAGCCAAAGCAAACCACATACAATATCATGCAGTGTTCGTGTAGACGGATCAACAACGCTTGCATCGGCTCGGAGTCGACGGAGGCGTTAGAACCTCCTGGGCACGAGTCTCCGAGGCTCACCAGATCTTCAGCTTCCTGGCACAGTCGCTGCATCAGGGCACCAAGCCTGAGGACAGCCTACGAACTGCTTTCGAGTCGGCTTGCAGGGGGTGCTGGCTCATGTGACGCTTCGTTTGCAACTTCTGCAGCGCATCCTGTCTGCCTGCCATGTTGTGGCTCTTGTTTCAGCATCGCTCGCCAACATTGTTCATGTTACAGTACGCTTGAGCGCGTCAGCAACGCAAAGTTTTGGAACTACCGGCTGCATTGCCACACAGAGCAATGATGTGCGCGGTGTCCTCGAAGGGTCTGAAGGCCGGCTGCATGACGAAGCCTTGGCATCGTCGCAACGCTCCCTGAAGCCGGCAGCAGGCAGTGGCAGCGATGCGGCGGGGGCTCCGATTCTTCTCCAGCAGACACGGTCCACTGGCAGGCGCATCGAGAAGTGAGCCAGTCCGGAAGCAGTGAGCACTGGCCGCCAGGAGTGCGAGTGCTGGACATGACGCGGGTGCTCGCAGGACGTCTGCATCCATCGAAGCCATAGAAAGACAGAGAAAGGGTCCGGGTACGTGCAGTTGACGAGCTGACTTCCGAGGACCCTCCTGCACCCAAGTGCTGGGAGATCTGGGTGCAGAAGTAACGAAGGTCGAGCGGCCGCAGGTGGGAGACGACACTCGCGGCTTCGCACCACCGTTCCTCCCCGGGGCAGCACAGGACATCTCGGCTTGTTCAGCCAGAGCCAGTTCGAGTTCACGGTCTCTTTTGTGGGTTAGTGACTAGTGGCAGCGTGTGTGATGCTCAGGAGACACAGGCCATGGCTGCGTATTTCGCAGCACAGAACCGCAACAAGGCCTCGTTGACGGTAAACTACACCCTGCCAGAGGGACAGGACTGCAAAACAGCAGGTCAGCTCGAGTCCCACGGCTTGCTTGCTTCGCTCCGGGGTCTGTTGCCTTGCGAGGATATCCTGAAGCGTCTGTTGAAGACAAGTGATGTGTTGGTGGAGAACTTCAAGACGGGGACTTTGGAGAAGTATGGTCTTGGTGCCCGGGCCAAGTTCATGCCTGTGTGGCATTTGGGAAGATGCGGCGGATCTGACGATGCGAGGTTATGATGATCTGAGACACAGCTACCCGTCCCTTGTCTACTGCTCCATCACAGGCTTCGGACAAACGGGGCCCTACAGCCCCTGGCCGGAATTGTCGCCCTGTGCTTGTTGATCTCGGCCACTGCGCTGTTGCGACGACGTCTTAGGCCCACGGCCGGGATACGATGCTCTTGTCCAGGCTTGGTTAAGGGAGATGGGCCGGTACGTGTGCTGATTTTCAGAGTTTTATGAGGCGATGGGCGGTTTCATGAGCGTGACCGGCGAGGTGGAGGGTGAGCCGATGAAGGTGGGAGTTCCCATCCATGACCTCTTTGCTGGCTTGCATGGTGCACCCAGGCGGCAGGAGTGTGATCGCTGCGTTCGCTGTCGATAGTCTGATACACGCCCCACATGTGTTTGGGCTTTCCTGCATGAGGTGATCGGCATTCTGGCCGCTCTTCGCCACGCCGCCATGACTGGGGAAGGGCAGCATGTGGACGCTCGGCCCATACACTGGATTGACCATCTCGCCCTTCCCAGCTTTCCTGGCGTCTTTTGCATCGCTCGTATGCGAGGACATCGGAATGTTGGATGTGTCTACGGCGAGGGTCTCGATTTTGCTGTCGGATGATGTGCAGGGAGGGTAAAGGCCTTACCTTCCCAGGCAATGCTGGCGAATCAGGCGAGCAACTTCCTCTCCACAGGAAAGCTGCCGGAGCGGCTGGGCAACCAGCATCCCAACATAGTTCCTTACCAGGCTTGGGCCTCAAGAGTTGCAGCCTTGGCAGCTCCAGACGCCCCGTTTCGAAAGGTCATGCCAGCCTCGGACGGTTACTTCATTCTGGCGGTTGGGAACGACCCTACCTTCCAGCGCTTCGTGGCGGTCGCGGACAAGGTCGGGAGGATGAGCGAGATAAACGTGGCACCCAAGCACCGCAAAATCCCCGAGGCGGACCCAGCGGCGAAGGCTCCGGCACTGCTGGACGACTGCCGCTTCAACTCGCAGCCTGCCCGCGTGGACAACCGGAGCGCGACCAAAGCTGGCGCAGCTTGGATTTCAATTTGCTCCTGAACACGCCGCAGGAAGCTGGTGACGGACACCTGCAATGCCATAACGAGGACGCCTTTGCTGATTGCTGATTGTTCGGCGTTCAGCGTGTGCTGTGCCTTGCGGGATGAGCATGGTATGAACCATCGCCTCGAATGCAGCAGGAAGAAGCCAGTGGAGTGGTGGCTACGTGAACTGGAAAGTGCCAGCATCGGCTGCTCTCCAATCAAAAACTTACAAGAAGTTTTCGAGGACCCACAGGTTAAGGCGCCACTCGGCTAGTGACAGTCCTGCATCTCGTTGTCGGAGGGTTCGTTTCGACTGTTGTGCTCTTCCGCTTGTGGCCACGATCCAAGGCGGGAGATGGTGATCGAAATGCCAATCGAAGGCTGGCGCGTCCCGGCGTTTTCCTGAGAGTCTAAGGGGGTGCTTCCTCTTGGTCAGGCCATGCGTCGGCCAAGCTGGTGGCCTCGCCCCTGAAATTTTCTTCGCTACTCGATCTGCGATTGTTGGCAAGAAGCTTTGACTCAGCTTGCATGCCTGTGGTTTTAGGACGCCCTGCTCGTACCGGCGGCCCCCGCCTGGCCTGGGCGAGCACACAGAGAGCCTCCTCTCGGATGCCGGCTTCAGCACCAAAGAGATTGCACAGCTCCGTGAGAAAGGTGCGGGCCCCAGCAGGTCGTGGCTTGTTGCATGACAGTGACTGTATGTCTCTTTGCATGCCACTTTTCTGCGCTCCGCCAAGGCGTTGTTTAAGAAGAAAGCTAGCAACCTTTTGCATTGAGCCGCACGAGATGTACAGCTTGCCGTGCCAAAGAAGTGCCGGTAAGAAGGCTCATTCCATGGAATGCCAGCAGAGGCTTCATGATGCAGAAAGACCATTTCGTTGATCTGAGCTTCTGCTTGCAAGCTCACTAGTTTCTCCGTTCAAGCTGCGAGGATTTGAAGAACTTCAACCTCTTGGTGGACAGCATTGACGATGTGTTGGAAAAGGTGGACACAAATCTCAGGCGGTATTGTGCTGCACCGAAGCAGCGGCAGAACGGATGTTAGTTGTTGGCCTTTCAAGTTGAAGCCAGGGATGCCAAGTCTGGCAAGCAGGGAGAGGCCGCCCATGCACGCTTTCGTGCGTCAATGGATCTGCAGACGTGTTGGAGTTGTCACTTGTCACATGCCCCTCCCTCTCTGTCTCTCTGTCTCTCTCTCTTTCTCCTTCTCGCTCCTCTCTCCTTTCTCCGATGGTGCATGCCTACATACAAAAGACATGAGGCTGTTGGTGCTACTTTGCTGGATGCAACCACAACGCACTGCAGGGGGCTTCTTTTCCCAGTCTTTTCATTGATTTCGTCGTTTCTTCGTCTCTCATGTCGCGATGCAGATGCCTCCTCGTCGCTGTTCTGGCGTTGTGCCAGCAGAGGGCAGCTCGTCTAAGGGTATTCTCCTCGCTTTTCTAAGGCTGCAAGGTGTTCCTCTCTCTTATCTTTTGCCTTTGTCTCTGTGAGCGATCGCGAGCTCTGAGCGATTGCGTATGTTCGCAGGAGGCTCCGGGTGACGAGGAGGAGCCGGCTCCGACTCCTTCGGCAGGCCTTTGGAACTTTTCGGTGTGGGAGTCCCGGGAGCCGACCGTAACGGAGCCCCGACATCGTAACAAGAAGCAGCTGGTTCCTGCAATGTCGGGTGGGGCCCGGGCCAGCCCTTGTAGCAGGAAATGAAAGCCCTGCAAACCGGAAAACCTTCTATGACGAATCCCAGGCTCGTCGGACAAAAACGAAGTCATCCGGCAGTTGGGCTTTGGGGCGTAAGAGCTTTGGGTGCAGGGTTTCGTGGCTTGCGGTTTAGCATCTACACTGAGTCTACACAGGCGTTAGCGCGCTGTGAACAAAAAGCAAGACACACAACAACTGCACCTTTGCGGGATTCTGTGGGCACAGGGCTTGACGAGACCGCTTCGATCCCGTTGCCGCCGCAGAAAAGGGGGTCCAGGAACGTGTACAGACTTTGTCCGTCGCAGGTTCGCATGCTGTCCGCGCGGTCAAGCCGCAGGTGCAAGCTCAGCCCTTTTGCCAACTTGGCTTGCTATTAGGGCTGGTAGTCAGGTGCGATGGCGTCAACTTGTCGACAACCACCGGAATCGCTTTGTGCCCAGGCGCACAAACAAGCGAGGGGTGTTTTGCTTTGTGTTCATGGCTGTGCATTGGCCCCTGGCTTTGCAGACTCTTGGTGAAGCACAACGAGAAAGCTCCGCTGAGCCCGATGCTCCTGGAAGCCCAGTGCAAGGCGCTACTTGTATTGCCATGTGCGATGATGGGATTTCCTAGATGTTCCGTGCCCTGCTTGGGCAGCGAAAGTGGATCGCATCTGAAGCGAGATGTTTGCAGGCTGGAATTCGATCTTCTTCCGGAGTGGCAACCTCAGCAACGCCAGCATTCCGACTGTCCGAAGGCGACTTGTAAGTGAGGCGCAAGCGCCGCAGACCCTTGGGAATCGAGATGGTGAGGCCGCATGCCAGCATGTTCCGTTGGGCAAGCTAGTAAGCTTGACTGGTGGTTCTTCTTGATTCTATCCGTAACCAGCTTGGCCTCCGAAAAAACTGAGTAGACGGTACGTGCCCCTGCAGCAAGTGCAAGGTGCTGCCACTCAAACAGTAGTATGGTGGCAAGTTGGGCCGTGTTCCAGCCAAGCCACGGGTTGAAGGATCCTCTTCCGAACCCGTACGAAGAGGACCTTGCTGGTTCTGCTTTCACCACGCTTCAGGTCAACACATCCATGCTTGCTTGAGGCTTAGGGCCAGTGTAGCCAGTCTGGAGCACATGCCACTGCACCGGCGAGCGATTTTGGCTCAAACTCCAGCCCGTTCATCAGGCCTTCCCAACACCATGCGTGTTCGTCCCTTAGACTCTCCGGTATTTTGCAGAGATGAGGACGAAGATCTATTCGTGCGTCGTAGGCGCGTGCAAGCGTGGCATTTGGCCTGCAGGTTGTTCTTGCTTATTTCCTGGCTGCGGCTGCTGCAGCTAGCCTCGTTCAAGGCACATGGTTTGACGTACGCATCTGTCATGCGTCACGTGCATCCGTAACTCGCCTGGTCAATCTATGTCAGCGCTCACCGAGGCAGTTCGTCGATCTGAAGATGGCCTTAAACTGATCCAAACTGGAAAAACCCATCAGCTAGGATGTCTGTCTTGAAGTCGCTCATATCTCTTCATCTTCCGACCTGGGTTGAGACCTCGCGGAGCAGCTTGGCGCCGAGCGCGCCTCCGCCGTGGAGCGCCGCGCCCTGCCGCTGGAGGCGGTGCTCCGGCCAATTCTACAGGCGCCGCGCCGCGCGCACGAGAGCCCGACGGGTGGGGGGATGTTGACACTCACTTGTTGTATGTGTATGTGCGACCGAGAAGAGGGAGGCGTGTGCAGAGACTTGAACTGACAAGGTCAAGTTTCTCAAGTCTTGTCGAGGTAGAGTGTGGGGATTGACTTGGGTTTTCCAGCTTCTGTCAAGCTTGTCGCAGGCTCTTCCCAAATCCGGCTCTGGAAATTGCTTGGGAGCGGCTGCAGCCCGCTACGCCCTTCATCGAGTTTTCGTTCAGGAGCGAGGGAGGCCGTGTATACTCGAGGGGCTTCCGCAGCTTCCGTTCATCCTTGCAGCTTGCAGGAGAGGGGCTGGTTCGTAAAGGGCCTGCAGGAGTTGGACCCTTCGCGCCACTTGTCCGGATCTGGCTTGATGGCGGGATGTAGAACGACCAACACACCCACCAGTCCACATCCCTAGCGCCCTTTGCCTTGATTGTGCCGTGACCCCTTGGCAAACGCATCGATTTGCACATATCGGCTTGTCAAAAATTCTGAATCCGGGAGTGCAGTGCTGGAAGAGGCGCCGTGGCGAACGCAAGCACGGTCGAGGCATCGCCAGTGGCGATCCTCCAGGACCAGGTGCCCGGGGCCGTGAAAAGCCTTTTCGAAGAGCCGCTCAGGCGGGCACGTGCTGCAACTCGAGTGCTGGGGCATTCTGCAGAGTGTAGCAAGTGCAAGTTCTTGCTGAGAGGCAACAAGGGCTTTGCCTGCGGGAGCTTGCAATGCTGGCAGCGTTGCTGGAAGATCTGGTGTCTCGCCATCCAACTCTTAGCAGAACTTAAAACAGATCCTCTTTCACGGCGTTTCTCCCCTTCCCACCTAGCGGAAGCCTGCCAGCACTAGGTTCACCGGGAGACGATGCAGCGTGTAGGCAGTGCATTCAAAGCGCACCATGTTCCGCTGGTCGGGCGCGTCACCGTGGAGAGGGTAACGGCCATGCTGGAGTACGTGATGATGAGCTACATCCTGGAGGCATGGAAGGACGAATGACTCGGGTGCCGGCTTTGAGCCTTCATTCAAAAGAGCCTGCGAAGGTCGCAAGTCTGGATGGGACGAACCTGGTTGCAGACGATGCCAAGGCGTACCTGGAGGGGCGTCTTCCGATGGAGGACGTGTATCCTTCTTGGCCCAAGACGCAAAAGTTCATCCACGACATTCAGGACACATCTTGAGCTTTCGGAGATGTTTTCTTGGCCTGCGTCCGGGTTCAGTCTGAAGTTCCTTTGCACAGGAAGTGGTGGCACCCTCGCAAAAGGGCAGTTTGAGCTTCGAGGATGTCACTCATATCGTGGAAGAGATCAATGAACACTATGGCCGCTGGCACGACGAGAGCGACTGCGCAGATATGAAGAGTGTGTTGCTGAACATGGAGGGGACATGCCCTGGTCGGGTGGATCTTTCGCGGTTCTATTCGGCATCCCTCTACGAGGATCGCTGGCAGTTCAGCGAGAGCGTCTCTAGACTGCATCTCAGAAGAGACAAGAAAGCGTGGGGAAGGTTCAATGCTGCTCAGGTTCACTACTTGCGCGACTTGGGGGCCCTCGACGAGAGCCAGCCGGAAAGCAGTGTGATCGTGTCCAACTACGTTTTGGGGGCCTCGAACTGTGTGGGCACCTCGCGCTTCTATGCCCAGTGCTGCGTGGACCCCTGCGATCAACTCATGGAGCTTCGGCCCAAAGAAGACGCCCTTCGTTGCAGTACTTGTAGAGTAGAGGAGGGAGAGGCGAAGTCGCATCCTCGCAGCTTCTCTGAGGCTCAGCTGGAGAAGGCCCTCGCTGCTCCGAGGGCGGCGCCGTCGGACCTGAGAGCAGCGCTGGCGGCTTTGCCGGCTCCGGACTCCACGGTGCGCCCCGTGGAGGAGCTCCAGAAGGCACGACGTCGGCTTCGGAAGTAAGGCTTGGCAAGCCTCAGCTTTGCTTCCTTCTCTCTTGTAGAGTCTAAGGGGCACTCCGTTGCATAGCGAGGCCTCGGAAGACGGTCTCGTGGCACTGCACGGCCGCCTATTTGCGCAGTGGCTGCACCACGCCTACCCACGCCAGTGCCCAATGCCAGCACGTGCCGGCATGCGCCTCTGGCAAGAGCTGCCGAGGGATTTCACTCTGCGCACAGGCAGGCAAACGGGCAAACGTAAAAACAGAAAGTGTAGAAAGTTCAAGGTAGAGTAAACGAGGCGGAGGCGGTCTCTTCGAAGGAATCGTTTTTGTTTCGACGAGACCGGGCCCAGGCCAAGACTATGCGGCGACCCATGAGGAGATGAAGCGATACGCAGACCAGAAGCTTTCCAAGGAGGGAGTGTGCCGGCTTCCTTGGATTTCGGAGGACGCGGTCGCACTGCAAACACGTATCAGATGCTGTAGAGCCACTGAAAGCCTGCAAGTATCCCTGGATTTGGGAGGAGTTGCTGGTGTCAGAGATGCCCGCGACTGCTTCGGTCGGGCCACCCGATGTGGCACATTCACTGAAGGCTGCTTTGGACAGCGAAATGGCCAAGACACTGTGCCTGGTCGGTTTCGCTCTACTGGCCGCAGTGGTCATCGGCGTGGTGGCGAAGCGCACGGCCCGAACCCCTGCCGCACGGGGCCCGCTCCTGGCCACGGAGGCGTCGCCGCAGCGAGCATCTTCTGAGGCCTAGCGCTGGATCTGTGATCTCGACGGCACGGAAAAGAGAGTGCGTGGTGTGCACATGATCCAGCAACACATTTGCTACAAGCATTTGCTTGCATCATGTGACACACCTTGTTCCTCGCGCCAGGAGCTTAGCACTTTGTCTTGGCCGGACGATTTTTTCCGGCCGCACGCTGCCTGCCGCTTCAACCGCATGGAGGCGTGCAGAAGCTTCCACAATGTGACACACAAGCGTTTGTCGGAAGTGGAGCCGGCACCGCCAATTTCTCTGCCTGCAGGATACACCCTTGATCATGGTCCGTACAGAGCAAGAGCTGAGGGAGATGGTGGAGGAAGTCAGAGCTTGGATTCCAACCATCACCAAGAGGTACTAGTAGTTGCCTCTTAGCCAAAGCTGAGCAGACTGTCAGAAGACGGTGAAAGCAATACCTACTGTATGTGGAATTGATTTGCCGACTGCGGAGGAGATCAAAGCAACCTGCATCGGAAACGAGATTGCCGTGGACGTTGAGCATCACGATTTCAGGCAGGGTGTTAAGCTCCCCAAGAAGCTTCAGCTTCAGCTGTCTTTCCCAAGGTCATTTCGTGGATTCGTTTGTCTCATCCAGGCTGAAGCTTGATCCGTTGTGATTCTGCGGCATGTCTTCGTGCCGTGTCTTTGCCGACCAGGTGTCCACTCGGAAGAAGGACTTTCTGATCGACCCTTTTGACATCTTCGAGCAGCTACACATGCTCAATGAGGCTCGTATCTTTGACAGCTATTCAACAAGACCGTGTTGCTACCAGAATTTGCTCTCCAGGTTTTTTCCGATCCGCGCATTGTGAAAGTGCTTCACGGCGCGGACCGCATGGTTCCCGGAAGCTGGTACTTGTGCGGATGTCCAGTTCCGTATGTACTTGGCCGGGATCTCCTAAGGTGATGTGCTTTGGCTACAGCGCGACTTCTCGATATACCTGGTGAACATGCCAGAAGCCCATCTCACAGCCTGTCACGACCAGCCACCGTGTAGGGCAGCCGTACGAGGTTTGACACGGGCCTGGCCACCCGTGCACTGCGGTTGCAAGGCAGTGCCGGGTTTGGGCTGTCTTTGGTGGTCACGAGCCGTGGCAGGTGGTTACTCGCTCGCCAACCTCGTTTCCCACTTCTGCGGGGTCCGTTTCTCACTGCGAGCTCAGGGACGCAACAGGGGAGGGTTACGAGTGAGAAGCAGCACATGTCGCTGTCCCTTGTTCGGGCCCTCGGGCTTCAGCAAGAGCCAGGCATGAAACGAGTGACAACAGCATCCTTGAACATTCTTCAACCCGTCGTGACACTTGTTTTCGACTGTCACTGAACTGAGTGGAGAACCCGGACCAGTCTAGGACCTGTAGACAGGAACACAGAAGCTTCATTTTCATGCGCTTGATGCATCCAATCGCTACCGGAAAGCCAGCACATGGCTGCAAGGCACCTCTTTTGCTGCTGTGCGCTCCAAAAGTATGGTGATGTGCAAAATCTAGTCTGTTGTGACTGTGGACTGACGGTTGAGCTTGTCGCGGTTTTGGTGGAAACGTCTTCCTCTGTACCGAAGTTTGCGCTGCAAGCTCGCAATGCTCAGTGTGGACGAGATTCCGGCAGCGTGCAGGCAAAGACATGGACGACTGGTCGACGGACTGCGTGGCAGTGCCCGTGCAGACCGAGCTCCATGCGACAGATTCCGGCGCGGGCCACAGAGAAAGAGGGAAGAGGAGCCGACAAAGCGGAAGCTTGAAATTAAGACCTCAGATCCGTAGTTGGAGACACAGATGGAAGAAAAGATGGAGAAAAGGAGCTTCGGAAGTGCTGACGGAGTGCAGTCTCGGCAGGCGGTGGCCTGGGCGTCGTCGGGCTCCCGCCTTCGGAGACCGCGCTTCTCGCTAAAGCCCAGGGCCCAGGCGGCCCAGGCCCAGGCCCGGCGGAGGCGGCGGAGGCCGCCGAAGTGCAGAGGCCCGCAATGAACCGTGCTCGGCCATGCGTTTGACTTCGGGATGAACCGCCGCGGGTTGGTTCCGTCACACTGGACTGGTCAGGCTGCGCGAGGAGAACGCAATGCTGCGCGCACAGGTGCGGGAACTGCAGGCCCAAGCTTGGCACACTCGTAATCCTGGGTTTGGCAGACTCTTCGATGCAACTTCGATTAAACTGCAGAGTGCAGGTGGTGCTGGCCACCGGAGTCCTCACCGAGATCGCCAGGCCACCCCAGCCAAAATGCATCGGGTGGACCGACCCCAGTCTTACTTAAAGGTGTTTGGCATTCAATTTGTACACACGGTGTAGTTAGTTCTCATTCTGTTGCGTCGCACTGGCCCTGGCTCGCAGGCTCCGGGAGGAGAACGAGGAACTCCAGCTGAAGAGTGCGGTGATGGCCGAGAGCTGGGTTGGCAAAGGGTTAGGAGCTCGGTTGCCTGGGGCTCTTCGAGTTGCTTTGTAGAGTTTTGAGATGTGCAAGCGCAGAGACAGAGAGTCGGAGCTGAGGTGGAAAGGGCCGGCGGCTTTGCTCCAGGTGCGAACGCCGGTCTTGTCGATCTTGGCTGTAAATCTCGCTGCGTCTACCAGGCCCCTTACGACCTTTTCCTGGTCTTCTCGATCAAGGCCGCAACGGGGCGGAGTCCGTGAAGGTGCAGACAGGGGCAGTGCAGCAACACTCAGAGGCTGCAGAGATCACAGCCTACTATGGCTTCTCGTACATCTTTGTGTGGTTGCCTCAGGGTCTCCAGTGCCAGTGCACTTCCACTTTATGTCCGCGCAGTGTAGGTCCTACGTGTCAGACGAGTATGGTATGTCCGACGAAGAAGCTGGAAGACTCTACGGGGCGTACGGCTTTGCCTGCACAGGCAGTTTCTGAACGAGCAGATATGCTGCGAGCAGCTGAGAAGTTGAGACTGGGACAGGTGTTGGGCTCCTCCTTGGCTTCCTTATCGATCGACTTGGCGTGCGCCGATCTATGCTGCTGGGCCGCTTCCCCAGGAAAGAGTGGACGCTTCGCAAGAGCGGTAGTGTGAGAGACACGTGAACGGCACAAGTCTGGTCAAATCTGGCCTGACCGGTCAGGCTGCACGTGTTCCACGCTGTACCGGGCAGTTTGCGCTCTTGCTTCTTCGAGGCAGGCATTGTGCATCTGCCTGTAACTGGCTGTCAACACTCGGGCGAGGCAACTGATGTGGTTTTCCACCATGACGTTTGCTCCGGTGGGCGCGGCTTTTGGCGTTCCTGTGCTAGCTCTTGCCGTGCGGCGATACACACACAGGCAACCGGACGGAAGAAGGCAGATGTTTCAGCGGTTAGTGTATTGATTGTTCATTGGTCATGCTGGACCGTTGTGGCCCCGCTGTTTGCAAGAACTGATCTTTGTTGTTCCTTGAAGCAGACGAGCCGGCACTGACTTTTTTTCTGATCAAGCCTGACGAATGCGCAGTGCAGCTTGTCGTTGTCTGAGTCTCTGCGAAGATCTGACAAGCGGGAAAACAGTTTGCAGCCAAGGGAGAATCGTGCTTTCGCCTTCTCCTTCTTCTACTCAATGCTTTGCCTGGGCTGCCTGCTGGGCCGCGCGCTTAGTTTCAGTCTTTGCTTAACCCCCTTTTGCTCAGTTGGATTGCTTAATGGATTCAGAGTTCGTGCGCATGTTCCGCTTGACTTCGTGTCTCCTCGCCGTTTCCCCGTGTTTCGCAGGCTCAGTTCTCATCAACATCGTCCGCGATGTCCTCGTCGACGGGACAGTAGTGCTCGGTGTGTGGGCCCCAGCTACTGTGACGATTAGCCATGCCGCAAACGGTCGAGTTGGGTGTGTTTCTCATCTACGCTGCTATTCGCTTGGGTCCTGTCGGAGTTCACTTTGCCTTCGGTTGCATCCACTGGATTACCGTTGCAGTGCTGTTGGCTGCCTGCCACGGCTCGTGGCCTGGGTTGGTTAACGCCATCACGGTTTCGATTTCACAGCGGTCGGTAGTCCTTGGAACTTGCTGTAGGTGAAGCTGAGCTGGATGAGAATGGTCCTGTGGCTGCCCTTTGGCTGCATTGTGCCGAAGTCGAAGCACTGCAGCTTGTACCTTTGTGCAGCTGCCCGACCGCAGCCATCCATCGCCTGAGGTGTACGGCGTGCACATTCTACACAGTTATTGCTTCTCTCTTTGTGCGGGACATCCAGATCCTTTCTGACATGCCCCTGAAGGACTTGATGACAGTTCTGTTGGAGTGCTTCGGGAACTCATCGAAAATCCCAGTTGAAGCCCTTGGAGAGCTCCTTCGAGCACTTCCGGAAACTGTTTTATGCGATTGCAGGTTCCACGGTCATGTGTGAACTTCACGTGCACGGGTCGAAGCTTATGGACTTCTGGAGATCACCTGCATTCATGGGGGCTCTACTGGCCTTACGTGATTTCTACCCTTACAACTTCGCAAATAATGCCAGTTGAGTAGGTGTTCGCTGGCGGCTTATATTTGCCCTGTTCCAGCAGGGGTTGACATGAGGATGAGCTAGGGCTACTGTGGGAGGATTGCTCTCTCTAGTATTTCTAGTGCACCTTCGTCTTGCAGTTGAGCGATTGGGTTTCCGGGGATCGGTCCGTGTGCGGAATGCTTCCAGAACTCAGTCGTGCTGCTGGCAGGATCGAGAATACTGCAAGTTCAAGCCTGCCAACTTCCAGGTTGGGGGGAAATGTGCTCCTTCTTGCGCGACTCGGTGGTGTTCAGGTCCGGCAGACCATCAAGGAGATCATGGGCCAAGCCAAGTTCTGGCGCTTGGCCGGGATCACCGGAATCTTCATAGGCAGGGAGGGGTCTTTGGTGGCCGTCTTGGTTCCGTCAAATGACAAGCAGTATACTGCAGTATTCCTGACAAGCAGGTGTCCGAATGACCTTCCGGCACTTGGATGCCACGTTCCCGAAATACTTTATTCGAACTTATGGACCACAGGCACGGCACGGCGCCGTCAGTTTCTGTCTCCTCATTTGCGGACAGCGCCGGCGTGACAGGCCCCATTTGAGATCATCCTGGGCATCAATCCTATTGTCGAAATGATCGGGACACCCTTGATGACTGGCCTTCTGTTGACTCTCGGGAGCAGCAGGGGCATCTGTCACCGTAGAGCAGACATGGCATCATGGCACCCAAGGAAATGGAACGCCACCTTGTCCCAGAAGCTGTCCCGACCTCGGACTTCCAGCTGGAGAGCTTCAGGCTTACAGCGAGATGAGATGAAATCCAGGCTTTGGGGATCCTTCATCTCGGGGATCTCAGTCTTTGCGCTCGCCATCTGGGAGTCCTACCTGGGTGCTGTGGTTTTCGTCTTGGTCCTTTCCCTTGGAGACACCGGGCCGCAACATCAAGCCTTCTCTTGTCAAGAGGGTCATAGCGCAGACCAAGAGTACCTAGGACACCATCTGGTCTCCCACGCTTTACGAATTTTCGACGATGGCAGCCACTGAGGGCAAGGACCGATGGACCAACGCAAGTCCGAGGGCTGCACAGCTCTGCCCTGGCCCTGCGAGGAGGGGATGTTCTTGGCAATCACAATGGCGCCCATGTACTTGGCGGCGCTTCCTGTGGGCTTGATTTCAGGCGCAGATGCGTGGCCTTGTCTGGGCCGAGACTTCCACCGGGCAGGTCGCGATACGGGGTGCCGCACCGAGGAGCACGCATCATTCCCATCATCGGCATTACGCTTTCCCTCAGCCGAATCTTCTGTGCCCGCTTGTATTTGCAATGGTCACATGCACAAGAGATCGCAGCATCATCTGAGTGATGTTTCTCCTCCTAGTCCTCTCCGGCCGTTCCAATGCACAAGACCATCGAGACGCCCAGCAGCGAGCATCATGGGCATCATTCGGGTAATGTTTTCCGCATCCTTCTCGTCTGGAAAGTCCGTGCTCCAGGTACGTTCAGGGCAAGCATCGCGAGCATCATGCGTTTGATGTTGCCTGAGCCCTTCCAGCCACCAACTCCTGCCAATGCAGCAACAGTACACTTGGTTGAGTGCCCAGCAGCTCGCATCATGGGCATCCGTCAATAGGGAAAGGTGTCGGTGTGGCCGAAGCTACTTCGATGGGGTCTGAAGGGTTTCGGTGGGGTCTGGGGCAGTGCCAGTGGCAAAGCCAGAACTCCAATGGGGTTCGAAAGGTTTCAATAGTGGTAGAGGCGGTGCTTTAAGGTGGTCTTAAGGGTTTGGGTGTCGCAGGTGCAATGGCCAGGGCAGTGCTTGGGTGGTCGGCGATGCTGGGTTCGTTGCGAAGACGCGAGACCGGGTGCTGGTCGAGAGGCGTTCGGCATGGGTGGTCGGGGACCGGGAAGAGAGGTGGTGGTTGCGGGAGGATGACGTGCAGGCTTGTCTGATGAAAAGTACAGTACTCCTGCGAAAGGTTTTGGCGTTCCCGGGTTGACGTTGTTTATGCAGGTTGGGCCTTGGGGAACTTCTGTCCCCAGAACGTCACCCCGGAGGAGAGTTGTAAGAGCCGGGGTGCCGCCACTGCAAGCTTTTGAAGCTCAGCTCTTTTTGCTGAGGAGCGGCGCTCGCAGCTCATGTGGCTCATCATCGGTATCACAGGCGCCGGCAAGACAATCAAAGAACTTTTTCTGTGATTTCGGAACGGTCGCTTGCCTCCTGTCAGACCGTCAGGATTCGTTTCTCCTGTTGCGCTCTGGTTCTTCCAGAAGAAGCTGATCCTGCCGGAGGCCGATGGCACTCGATTAGAGAGGAGAGCTCAAGACCAACTGGATACTGGGGAGTCCAAGCTTGTTCTCACTTTCGGAAGATCTGCTCCACCCCCCTTGGAAACGGCTTGGCGACAGCATGCAAGGATCTGTTGCATCTAATTTCGGCGACGATTTGCTGCATCTCAGTTCAGATGCTCTGCTCAGGATGAGAATGCCGGCGAAAAGGAGCCCTCTTGGAGCGACAGAGCCCAGAGCCCAGAAGCGGCTGCAATCCTGATGCTGCGAGGAGTTGGAGAGAGACGAGGGCGAGGGGGAGTACCGTCAAACGAGGAGGCCATGGCCATGGCATGGCCATGGCCCAGAAACTCGGCAGATGTCTGCTCTGAGTTCTGTGACTGTCAGGCTCAGAGATGCAGGCGATGCAATGGGCCAGTCCCCCGCAAGCACTCTGGAGGCTGCAGCTCGGATAGACCAGAAAACACCTTTGATCAGCCTAACTTGATAGATAGCGTCGGACGAGCATTAACAAGCGGGGTTGCACACGAACTGCAGACGCGACACACGCAACAAAGACTAAACGACATTGCTGTGCTTCAACATGTGAGGTTTCACCGGGGTGTCTCAAGACGTACATTCTTGAAACTGCAGAAGCTCTTCCATGGGTTACAGTCCACGCGTCCACGTTTAGCTTTCAAGACTGGCTGACATCAGCTGTCAGGATCTGCCATTTCGTTGCGCACCTCTTTGCAAAGCGTTTCCACACTGTTCGATAAACGGTGCTGGTGAGATCTTAGTAGGGCGTCTTGTGTGGTTGGTTCCATAGAAGGGAGGGAACTACAAGAGATTGACATCCGAGGTTAGGGAGGTTAGCCGCCTGTGCCATCGTGTCAGGGGACGACGCTGGTCATTGGCCGACCGTTGCCGGAGGAAGTCGTCCCAGAGGACATAGCACTGAAATGAGGCGGAGCACCACGTGCAGCGGACTTGAATCCTTAGGATGGTGTTTGGACCACATGAGGTTATGGCTTTAGGTCGTGCTGCGCGAGCTGCTCTGCAAAAAGTTGTCTGGTCGAAAGGAGATCGGATAAGTAGAGCTCACCTGAAGCTTCCCGTTAATGTGCAGCTTCGCACCAGTGGCTTCGGCCCGCGGAGCTTGGCAAGACGCAGAGCCAAATCGCTGCTCGTGCGTTTGCGCTGTCTTTCTCTCTCGCCCGCCTTCTCTCTTCTTGCTTTTGGTCAGATGCTCAGGTGAAGCTGGACAAGAAGTACCAAACGGCAGACTGGAGAGAACGGCCTCTTTCCACGGAGCGCTTGCTTTGATGAGTTGGCACGTGGTAAGCTGCTAAACGCACAGAAGTGCCAATGCAGGAGATGGTCCACTACGCTCGGGTGCACACCCCAGTTGGCCTCGAAGACCTCGGTCGACTGTACTTGGACACTTCACGGCATGGCACGCCTCTGCATGCCTCTGCCTCTTCCTTGTCGTCCAAGGCTGACACCCACTACCTGCTCTTCTGCTCCTCGGCATGTCGTGTGCGTCTGCACCTGCCGAGCCTGAAACTTGCCCTCCATGCCTTCATGGAGGCTACGACTGCTTGAAGAACGCTCTGTTGGCACAAAACGGAATGGCAGTGCCGGTCTCGGAGAGGCTGCCGACCAAAGAGAGGAAGATTCATTGCGGCGCTGAGTCGAAGAGTGGCGTCAACGTGGGCATAGCGGCGTGCGGAGCCCGAGCTGGAAGAGCCCAGCCGGGCCTTTGGCCCTTCGGCCCTTTGGGTGGGGCTTTGAAGGCTCGAGAGCGGCGAAGTCGAGGCGACCGATGACGGAGCCGGAGCCTCAGGGAGCCTCGTGCGCTGCCCGCACGCTGCCGTGCGCGTTTGTCTGCAACAGGTGCAGAATCTTCAGGCTGTGTTGCAGAAGAGTTCTGGGCCTACAGCTGGAAGCTGGGGGGACTCAGCACTTCGAGCCGGAGTCGTCGGTGTTTTCGTCCCTTCAGGTGCTGCCTTGTGCAGCCAAGCGTACAAAGAGGTGCCTCTTGACGCTGGCGAACACGCGCGCCACCTCAGGCCGCTCTTGGGCGCGTGCCTTTGAATTGCCTCAGCGGCCAAGGCATCCTCGCTGTCCGATCGATTCGGATCGAGACAGCGTCCGCTGAATCCGATGCAGATGGGTGTTCTCAAGGCTTACCTGGCACAGCAGCGGTGCAGCTGCTAGCGGCTGGCATCAATCTGATCAGGCGCTCATCGACTGGCGTGATCAGCTCGCACGCAGCATCGACGAGCCCACACCTCAAGGTGTGCAGAGGCAGAGGAACAACCGACACTGCAGCTTGCGGACGAGCACAAGGTCCTTAAACTTCGTGGCGCCCGACGCCTGCCTTTGGCGAGTTTGCCTTGCCATGCCCACCTCGCGCGCCGGCCTAGCCGCTTCGGAAGAGAGAGATGGAGGTCTTGCGTTTGCACAGAGATCTCGAGGCCGGTGAAGCTGCGCAGAGCCCTCGGATCTTGGCCCGGAGAAAAAATCGCTAGCTTGGCGCTTCTCAGGGAGCACCTGCAATCCCTTGCCGTCCACACTGCAGCAGCATGCGCAGGAGGCCACGTGTGCAGGTAGCAATGGCTAGCCGCTGCTGGCGCTGCCTCTGAAAGGTCGTGGACATTGTCATCAAGTCTCAGCATCCCGGGGTCCCAGTCGCAAAGCTCCCAGCTTCGGCTTCTTGGCCGCAGGAACAGCGGCGGAGGTCCCATGCAAGTCGCCCAAAGAAAATACTTTCTCTCGAGGACTCGAAGGAGCGCCCGGCGGGCGAAGCGGCCACGGCTTCGCCCCGGGAGTCCCTGCCAAGCCAAGGCCTCGTCCGCGTCTAGAGGGCCGCGGTGGAATGCAAGCTGTGCGCAAAGTGGCAGATGCTGGGAGCGGCTGAGGCCCGGTGGAGTCGGAGGAGCCCACAGCCGCCGAGGCATTGCAACAAGAAGCTCTACCCTCTACCCGACCCATTCCTGCAATGCCTCTTGCAGGTGCCAACCCGAGTGGTGCTGGAAGCCTGGCCAGTCCGCCCGGTGCCGAGAGAACGTCCTCGCGGTTATGCCCAGTGCCTTCCTTTGTCGCCAAGCCTAGGGCTGGAGCAGTCGCCACGGCCGCTGGTGCTGTGCTCAGCTGTTGCTCCTGCTTGGGTCACATCTGAAACCTGTTCACGTGCAGGTGCACGTGGCCGCGAGCTTCGGAAGCCGGCAAGGTGCGAACGCCAACGAACCTGAGCGGAGAATTGATCCATGGATCATGGATGTCCACCTCCAAAGCTGCAGGCTCCAGTGAAACCAGCCGCAAGCGCAAGCACGAAACCCGGCTGGTCATTTCTGCGTTGCTGCTTGCACGCGTACCTTGCCCTTCTAGTGGTGGCCGCGCAGGATAGAACATCGAGGGTTCCCTTATCTCTTCTTCCGGTCGTGAACGTGTGCAGAGCGATGGGGTGAGAGGGCCAGTGGGATCACCGTGGCGTTTGACACGCTGGCTTGGGAATCCGACAAGGGCTTTCCGAGTCGCAGCATTCTATGCGAAACCGCACATGAGCATGGCAAAAGGCAGCAAGGCCACGGGGCCACGAGGTAAGGGAGGAGAGTGCGTTCCGCGTGGATGGGCCTCACTTGCGACTTCTTGCGACTTGCTGCGTGCTCTCAGGTTCTCTGTGCTTTGCGGCGACTCCGAAGCCGAGGAGGAGCCGGGAGAGCAGAGGAAAGCCGGTCGTGTTTTTTCCGCGACTTCGGCGATTCCATCATCGCAGGAAGACCCTCTAGCCGGCGGTCGGGGGCCTTGGACGTCCCATGCCTCGATGCGACCTGCAGAGCTCCTTGCAAGGTGATGCCAGCGTGAAGTCGTCGTCTCAGACTGATTGGAGCCTTGGAGATCCTGCCACCGGCAAGCTGCCACCATAATGCCTCAAAGTGACAGTGCCAGTTCATGTTGTTGCACGACAGTTGGAGCGGCAGCCCGCTATCCTCGCTGCAAGCATTCAATGTGCTGGAATTCTGCAGTGTTTGGGCTTGAGGGATGCTGGCTGGTTTGTCTTTTCATGGCTGCAATCGTTGAGTATGCGAAGTCAGGTCGATCGCAGTGCTGCGTGTGCTGTCAGAAGATTACCCTGGATGCGATTCGCTTTCGTATGCCGCTGGAACAAAAGTGGCGATGCCTGGAATGCTTCACGCCCGTCGAGCACCAGTCCGAGACCGCCGAGACCGCCGAGACCGAGATAGAATGCCACGGCGCGGCTAAACTGAGCTCAGAGGATCAGCTTCTCCTGGCCGAGCTTCTTCAGACTCGACTTAAGGGCGCCAGGCTCGGAGCACTCTGGCTCCGGTCTGAGGAGCACAGGGGTCTCAGACAGTGCGCGCGCGAGTGGGCGCGCAGCGAGACGGAGTCAGACTCCGCCTCCTCGCGCGTCGAGAAGCCTCGGACAAAGAAGAGGAGGATACCTGATGAAGCATTGTAGATCACAGCCTTTTCTCACCATGACTTTAATCGTCGGAGCGGCGCCCGAAGACCAAAGTGTACAGCCAAGACTACATCGATAATGCTGATGCTCTAGGTGGCCAGACTGCGTGGCACATCGTGATAGCTGAAGCGATAGGGCCGTGCCGAGATGCTGTCTGTGCCACCTGAGCAGGCCTGTTTCGGCAGGGACGGGGACAGGGACCTGGGGAAGAAGTCCTGCAAACGGAAAATTGTCGCACTTCGCAGCTTGCGGTAGAACATGCAGCCGGTGTTGGATGTTGTGCCGGGTTCTGCGCATGATGCTTCGAGGCCACAAAGAGGGCGTGCGAGGGCCGGAGCCTCATGCGGCAGCTGTAAGCATTGATGGCAGCACCGCGGCCCATGTGAAGGTTCCGCCGCAGCAAATCCTCCTTTCTTTCGTTGTGTTGATGTGCTCTGTGAATTCCAAGAGGTCATCCGGCGGAAGATCAGCCACTCGGCACAGCATGACGGTCGCAGAAGACGTCTCAGAGCTTGAGCTCAGGTTTTGCATCTCCGGCTCCCCCCGCCGCTGTGATTGCGAAAGCTCCAGAACCTCCCGCCAGCGCGGCGGTACAAAGTGAAGTGCCGGGCGGGCGCCTGAGAAAGGCTCAAGACTGCCGTCCTTTTGAGTCAAGTTGGCGTTCTTCGGCTCCCTCGCAGATCTTCGCAGCTTAGGTGCAGCCGCGAGCACCTAAGCGTCGTTTGCATGCATGCAACCGCAAATTCAGGCACGGCGCGCCGTGACACACTTCTCTTGAATGCCTTCTGCAGGTCCCCGAGACGGGCTCGGCTGTGCCCCCGGAAGTCCCTGCGCCACTCAGAAAGCGGAAGAAGAAGCGGTCGGGACCTCACACATGCAGGTGAACGCCAGTGAAGCAAGCTACGTCCTTCAATGCCCTTCAGCGAAATGCACCCTTTGCAACGGCCCAGAAGTCCGAGGCGGCGTTCTGGTTTGGTGGAGGCGTCCGAGGCCGTCGAGGTGGGACCAACGCCCGCGTGTCAATGCCCCAAGGCCCAGGCCGAGGAGGGAAGCGGCACGGCTCCGGCACCGCCTGCACCGCCTCCGCAGCCTGCAGCAGCTGCGGCTTCCTCGGAAGCCTGCAGGGCTCAAAGGCAACAACTTGGATTTAGGAAATCGCCGCTGCAACCTCAGCCTGCTTGTGAGGCCGAGACAGTGGCAAAGCCCGCTGCCAAGCAGTCGGCTGGTGCCCCAGCGATTTTGGGCATTTTTCAGCACGCTCTTTCAGCACAGTGCATGTGCCCAGGTGTTGGCCATAACACGGTTTTGACATGTGGTTTGGCAACCTACAGGATGCCCCCAATGTTTGCCCATACTATCCTAGCGGTGATATCGTTCGTGCTACCAATGCAGCCATTGGCCGGAACATGAAGCTTTTCAGCGCTGCAAGGGTTTTGAAAAACGACATTGTGCTGCTACTTTTTATGTGCATGCACATAAAAAGTAGCAGCACAAGGGTTTTGAAAAACGACCAGGTTTGGAACTCGGTCGGGCCATGGTTGTTGTAGCACGGATCCGTAGCGAACCTTGGTTTGAATGGCCCCAATACACAAATATGCTGTGAGTTGGAATGAAATCACCGGCTTCTGTGCTGCAGGGCAGCCGCCCATACCTTGTTTTCCCAGTGCAGTGGCTTGAATCTCAAGCCCGAAGTTGCACACATTGCACACACGCACAGTGAAAGACCGCTAACGAATGAAGCCATCCCCTTCTGCTGGACCTGAAGAAGCGGAAGTTTCGTGGCGCCTTTCAGCTCGTCTTACACGTTTCACAGGGCCGTCACTGCATGCGCTGTGCCCTCCCCGCCCAAACCTGAAAACTAAACTGCACCGAGGCATTGAGCCGCTCTTCAAGCGTTTGTGAGACTAAGACGTCATTCAAATCACTGACTGGTCCACTGAAATCCCCTCTGTTAGTCAGTCGAGTAGACAGTATCATTCGGTGCGCAAGTGATGCGCTTTTCATGCGAGTTGCGACTGAGAGATCTGCCCAGGCAGCAGTGGCCCAGGAGCCGGTCGTGAGCTGAGCTCGGAGACGAAAACGCAGCTTGCGAGCGCGAGGTGCCGAAAAGAGGCACCGGAACCGGAGCGGCCCAAGTCCGTGGCTCAGCGCTTTTGCTCCAACAGGGCGACGCATGCGACGGCTGCGTTGCAAGGCCCAGGCCAAGGCTGACGCGGTCCCCAAAGTCGGGGACGTTGGGGACCTGCAGAGCTTCCCGTCTTCTGTGCTTGGGGTGGACTCGTCGTAGAGGCTCTCGATCCGCGCCCCAAGAAGCGGAAGAAAGTGGTCAAGCGCACGCAGGCGGGCGAAGTGGAGTTGCAAGAATGCTGCATGTGCTCTATGCAGTCGCTTGTCGAATCCGGAGGAGATGGTGGTGGACCCCTACTTGTGAGAGGTGTCCGCCTTGATAGGCAAAGTGTCTGGGGGTCTGCGACATGCCAATGTTGCCCGTGTCTTCTGCGGCCGGGGTCCTCCGAGGCAGCTCGTTGCAGCGGCCGCGGCGTGTCGGCCAACGAGCAAAACTCCGAGCGTGTTTCGCCGTTGCCAACTGCAGATCGCTCACGTTTCATTCTGCACAGCTTGCCGATGAGAGGCATGCTCGCAGCAGTTTCAAGTGCTCAAAAAGCAGTCAGTCAGCCCAGAGCAGCAAATTCGCCAGCATACACAGCCACTGTGCATATCAATTCCCAAGAAGAGGATCAGAGCAGGTGGGAGTCCGGAGATCATGTCATGCTTCCTCGGCTCACTGTCAGTTGCCAGGCAATCATGGGTGGTGACGATCGAAGCCCGAGCCGCGGAAAGTGGCGGCCACAGACCCGTGAACAACGAACCCAGCTGCTCCCAACTCCCAACCGTTCGCGCAGCCAAGAGCTCGCAAGGTATCTAGAGCCTGAACCCCGCCAATTCGCAGAATGTAGAAGCTCTAGAGACTCTAGACAACCTCAAGACTTGTACATAGGTAGAGCGGAAGTGTTGACCGCGCAGGTCTGTCATGATCACTTCAACGTCTCTTGTTCTTCGTGATGCAGAGCACGCTCTCCTCATGGACACTCGAGAGCAGTCCCTGACGGCCCTCCGACGTCCCCATGGAATCCGTTTTCATCTCCGTCGCACCTTTCGGACTTCAAGCAGGACCGTGAAACCCCTAATCCCACCTGAGGCCCCAAGTGCATGCAGATCTGTGCATCTGTGCAAGTGCAATGATGTGGCCTGTGAGATCCCGTGAGGCCCAGGCACGAGCTGTAGCACCGTAGCTGTAGGAACATGTGAGCTAAAATGGAAGGCACCAGTGCACCTCTGAGCTCAACTTCTTCCCCTTACCACATGGACTGCTCTTCATCGACTGACATCGACTGACCTGCCTTCTCAGGCGCAATGCTGCAAAGTCGTGATAAAGGGGAGGGACATGTGACATGAGCATGTGAGAGTCAACAGCTTGAGGGAAGCAAGTTGAGAATAGTTGGGAACACAGTGCATTGCTGAAGCTTGTTGCGCTGAGCACGGCATGCAGTCTTCAATGCAACACCGTCTCAGTGCATTTTGGGGTGCAGTGCTTCGTTGACGAGACTGTGCAAGAGTGCGTGCACGTTCGCGGGCGCACCGTACGTAATGTCAAAAGCGCAGAATGCTTCTCAAACAAGTTGCCAACATCAGGCGGTCGAACACACGCTCTGGAGAAAGCTGTGTGTTTAGCGCTTGTCGCTGTGTGCCTGTATACGCAGGCGTTTCGCATCATCACGGTTTGCTTTCCGGAACGTCTGCGTCCAGACACGAGCTCTAAGAGAAGCCTCCTAGGTGGTCGCCACCTTGGAGTTAGGCGCGGCTAGGCTTCCAACGACGTGTGTTTCCCCTCACTCCCCGTAGAGTCGAAGTGGCAGTGTGCAAGAACCGCATGGGGGAGAGTCCATCCGCTGCCTTCTGAGGGACCGAAGCCGCAGCCGCGATGAAAAACGGAAGGCGCCAGATCACGGTAAACATCAAGGAATTTCACCACGAGCCTCGTGACCTGCTGAAGGACAGTCGAAGTCCAAGCAGGAGCCGCAGCCGCAACAAGAAGCCCGAGGAACCGGGAGAAGGGCAAGGCTTTGCTTTTCGTGGCGGGGTCGCAGACTTCGACGAAGGACCACGGAGTCGACACCATGAAGATCACGGACGACGATGCTGCTTTCATCCTCGGACCGAGCCTCGGAGCCGCGGAGCCTCGGAGCATCTCGGAGCCGCAGAGCGTCGTCCGAAGTCGCGCCTGGCCCCAGGCAAGGGTGGGAGGACCAAAGAGAAGATCTCCAAGGTCTCCGGCCGCGGCCCAAAATTTCCCGTTGGAGCCGCAGACTTAGACTTGTCGCCCTTAGGTGCAGAGATCGAGCTTTTCGAGCGCGACTTGATCTTGGAGATCCGCGGCTCGAAGCCTCGTGGATTGCAGATCGTGCAGCAGTTCAGGAGTTCTGAGAGCTTTGCAAAGCCGACTGCTGCTTGATGCTTCACCGAACTTCCTCCACGCGGGGGAGGTTCAGTCGCATTGGCGGAGGTTGTGCAGACGTCGGGCGAAGAAGTATTGCAAGGGTGTCATGGACCAGCGCACTGGCCCCGTCAACGTTACCCAGGCTCGCTGCATGAGCAGGATGCAAGTAGCAAGTCAGCAGCACCATGCTGTGCTCGCCAAGAACGACGACGATGATGACGACCTAACCATGATCAACGTCCCACAGGAGGCTGTTGGTTTTGTCACTGGAAGGCGGGCAAGCCAGAACCCGGACACTAACATAATTGAGCCACATTGACCCGTGTGAGGGCAGGGAACTTCCTGCGAACCATCGAGGAGGAGTGGCCGTAACCCCAGGACGGTGAAGGCAGGTATGTTGCTCGCAGGGTCAGTGCTGCTCCCAGGAATTGTCTTAGGTCACGAAGACGAGTTCATCCCCTGAAGCCAGGGTATGCAGTGCCGAGGAACACACTGATGTTCTTCTGTGAAGTGGATGGTTCTCGTGGCCGTGGAAAGGACCGGGCTGCCGGTGAGCAGCATAGCGATATGTAATGATGATGTCGACGACTGCCCGGCAGGATTACGAAAAGCTCGCCATCTTTGGCACGGCCGGGAGTCCGACTGCAACATCTCGAGCTGACGCTGTGCGGCAGCTGTGCTGCTTGTATTGTAGTGTTTGCAGGTGCGGGCGCGTCGTGGTGCCGAGCTCAAGGTCCTGAGTGCCGTGGAGACCAAGGCCACAGCGCCGAAATTGGCTTTGCTTCTGAAGCACGAGCCCTGTAGCGGTGCAGGTTCCAGGCTACTTCGACAAAATCCGCAACGAGGCTGGAGAGCATGGTCTTTGGTAGTCCAATGTAGCCCATGTAAGACAAAATACTTGAACAATTTGCAGCCAGGTTGTCGACCGCGACAAGGGCAAGGGAGAGGATTGGGGTGATCAGTGGCCGGTGGCGGCGGTGCAAGCATTCACGTGTATGTGCAGGATGGTACATGGGGCACCGACACAATGACGTTCCAAGACGACGAGCTGTCCTACGCGCTGGGAAAGCAGGGCGGGACAAGGCAGCGATCCTTGAGACTGAATTGACATTGTATGAACCGTCCATCGTCCTGGGCTAGACTTTGTCAGGAAGAAGCTGGAAAAGGCGTCCGGAGCAGTCGTGCAGTACGTCGGCCAGGCATCCGGGCAGCATGCAATGTCACTAGAGTCACTAGACAGGCTGGGAAGGCCAGCTTGGGTTGCGAGCTTTCTCGCAAGAGAGCACATGAAGTTCTCGATGCTGAAGAGATGAGAGATGCGCACATGCCTGCACATCCGGGCGGCAGTAGTGATGTACGCGCTGTTGTTTGTGCCGTCAGAGTAGGAACTCGTGGCCCTGGGCGCGGTGCTCGGCGGAGGTTGAAGCCTGGCGGCGCACATTTGCTTGACGACGAAGTGTGACCCGAGTATGTGTTGAAGACTGCAGTCAAAATTAAAATCAGGAGACTGTCCCGGACGAGCTTAGCACGAACAACACGATAATGCAATCAGCAGAAACCAGTCGTGGGCGATTGGATCCGACGTGACTGCCTGGGCTCTCCGGGTGGAGCCTCAAAGTAGCTCGCCATTAGCATGCGCGTGTGTGTCACTGCGCAGGTCAAGTCAGTATGTATCACGCGATCTATCTGCAATATACACATGCGCATGGTGCGCACGTCGGGCCATGCTTGCAGGTATGTCTGTCTTCGCGCTTGAGTGTTCACTTGCCCGACGGGAGGGGAGCATCATACTTGTCTGAGAGATGTTAACATGACTCGGGAGGTCAGTGTAAAGGCAGCCGCGCCCGTGCAACTGACTCAATGGCTTGTTGGACATGCCGGAAGGTGGCTCTCTTTTCCGGGGAGAAGCATTTGCGTAAGAAAGCCAAGGATGGGTGCGGTGCTCTTGTATGCGCTCTTGTACGGTGGACAAGTCCCGTCCCTGTGCCAGGAGTACATGAAGTGGCTCTTCGACCAGCTGGAGGGTCCCGCGGTCTTCTTGGAAAGACTGAATGAACAGCTCCAATGAACTGCTGAGAGTTGCTGGGTCCTGAGGTGTATGTAAACGGCTGGGAAGACAGGGACGACTGCACAGTGGTAGACGTGGGGCACCTGGCATCGTGGCACGCTTTTCCGCAGTCTTCTGCAGAGCTGCCAGAGCTTCTGCTGTTTGCATTGGCCTTCTGCACAGTAGTGTCCTAGCGGCCTGGCGAATGTGCTGCTGCACAGTAGGTGCCTGCTGACAGCCACTTGTAGAGTGCACGCAGGTGCCAAGCGAGTGCATCGGCTATGTCACGGGTGCTCGTCGGGCTGCACTGGGCAACATGGAAGAGGACCAACAGTGCAGCATGAACGCAAGCAGGCCGGCGTGGCTGGCTAATTGTGGTGCCAGGAATGGGGCACCCTAATGTTCTTCATGAACAAGGAGGCTCAGAACGGCGGTGGCAAGGCGCGGCGTCGTCAGCTCACAAGTGCCGCAAGCATCTGGCATTTGCTGCCTGGCAGCCAGGGCGCCCGGGGGGGACGCGGGACCTCGGAGCAGCTGGCGATCTTCGGTGCTCGCCGTTCACGTCGCGGAGCAGAGCTGAAGGCCCCAGGACTTCTCCAATAGCCCAGTAGCCAAAGTTCACTGCGACTGTCTTCAGATCATGAGCGCCGTGGAGACAAAGAGTCCCGGCGTCTTCACCCGGGGTGTCCGCGAGAAGTTCACCGATGCTGAGACCTGAGCTCGGGGTTTGCACCTGAAGCGCAGCTATCCAGAGAGTCCATCTTGTTGCAGCTGCCAGGAGCGGGGCTTTGCCACAGATCGCTTTGTCCTAAAGGAGTTTGATTGTGCGGGCGTGCAACCTTGACTCTCACTCCACCCTGAACATGCCTATCGGTTAGCATCAGGACGACGAGCTCAGCTATGCATTGGGAAAGGAGGCAGGAGTGGTGTGTGTGTGTGTGTCTGTGTCTGTGTCCGCGTCTGTGTGTGTGTGTGTGTGTGTCAAGCCCTGTTTGCCAAGGGACAGGTGAAGTGATTGTGATGTTTCCGTCTGCAGCAAACGATATGTGACGGTGACATACTACCGGCTGTCGGTCGGTCTGTCTGTCTGTCAGAGTCGGGCCACATGTGCATCTCATCATGCTGAAACCGTCTCTAGACAAGGAGGACTGACCTTGTTGGAGGCCGGCAGAATCACCATTCAACCAACAGAGACCCCCGTACAACGGAGACCAGCTTACGCGCGCAGAATATGCTGTGCCTGGGCCCTTGCGTTCTATTCGATACCACGCGGCCGCCATGCTGTCCTCCCGTCGTACCAAGCATCACCAAGGGTATTGTGCAAGCATAGACCCTGAAAGACCAGGCACCATGTACACCCCGAAGCAGAACGACCAGGACAAGCCAGAATGACTTCCGCAACGACCAACAATGACCGGGATGTAGGGAACAGCCAAGCGCGCTGGCGGCGTGGGCCCGGCAAAGAGGTAAGTAAACCCTCTTGTTCCCTCCTGTGCCGCTCAGTTCGCAGGCATTGTGGTCGGTGTTGGTTCCATGGCTTGGATTTGGTTTGCAGGTTTGGGACTGGGGTTTATGTTCGGGGGAGGTAGGGGCGAGGTAGGGAAGGGAAAATTGGGGAGTCGCAACCCTTAGCGCGAGTCCGCGGATCTTCACAGTAGGGGGAACGACTCTCCTATCAAAGCGCCCGACTTCAACCTGTATCATCAGCAAATTTGGCAAATAGTATGTGCCGCCTCCGTCCGTTCCTTCGATCCCCTGAATTCGATCAGTCGATATTCTCAAATCCAGTTACTAGTTGATGCAACTTATCTTGTGTTCTGCACTCCCGACAGAAAGAACCGACATCGAATCCGAATGCAAACTCAGTATAAATCACAATCGAACTACAATCTCCCAAGTTCCCCCCACCGGTACAGTACCCGACGACACGTCGAAGAGAACCAGTTCGCTAGCCGCCTGGGATGGGGTTGTCTCCGAGCACAACTGGCAGACGTGTTGTGTGGACATGTCTTTGGACTCTGCGTGGCATTGGTGCACTGTGCGGTGGGAATCGCAGGGTGCCACCCGTAAGAAGCTGGAGCTAGCTTCTGGCTCCATCCTTCAGTGACCTGCCTGGAACACGGGCCCTTGTTGTGGCAACGTTTGCATGAACATGATTATGATAGTGAGGGTGATGTTGATGATGATACGGCATGGGCAACAGCAGATTGGAATGTGCTGCACGAGGTATGTTGGCCATGTTGCCTTCATCGCCGGCGATTTGAAGGAACCGAGACATCATGAACACACTGGGACCCAAGACTTTCGCTGCTACCGGCAGGAGAGAAAGCGGTGCAAGCAGTTCATTGTTCGGGTCTTACTTCGTCGCTGCTGGAAGTACATGGCAGAAGGCACAGAAGGGCCGGAAGCTAAGGACTGGCTGTTGGCTCAGCGCCGCGGGTCCGTGACCGTTTCTGATGTTGCTGACAGAGAGGCATCCGACAGTCCCAGCGTTTTCGATCATGCAAACCCAAAACAATATCCTCTGCGAGCACAGGACTGCACGGAGATGCATATTCCGGAGAACTGCAAAGGCAGGCAGCCACGCTCGTATCGGTAGGAGACTTCGGACTTTCGCGAGGCTGGGTAACCGGGAACCGTGGCAGCGAGCTGCGGCGGGTGGAGCAGGAAGCGACGGACATCAGTGCGCCGCCGAAAGCGTGAAGGCTTCCGCGCACAGGCGACAGGCACCTTCATGTTCATGGCCTTGGACCGGCACGGGGAGGCCACACGCTCGCTTGACCCAGTTTCAAGTCGAATCTGAGAAAAGCAACTAACTGAAGGAGCGGTTGCTGATTTTCAGCGCCAACAGTGGTTCGAAGACCGCTGATGGCGGCCGCATGCATGCCGAGCGTCTGGTACTCAGTCAGGGGTCAAGTGTCAAACCTCGTTTTGACTTTTGACCGATTCCGTTGAGACTGCAAGGGCTCATCAACGAGATGGTGCAGGACGCTGGGGGCGGTCATCGGGTTGATGCCCTTGTGGAGACTGGCCGCTCTCAGGAAAAGCTCCGCGGGGACTCCCGCGGTCGCAGCCGCTCAGATTCGCGACGGAGGGGCGGCGGTGGCCGCCGAGACTCTCGACGCAGGCCAGCTCACCAGGATTCGATACAATTCGCGTCGCTCCGATTTCAGCTGATCTCCGCGTAGTTGCAATGCCCGACAGGTCCAACAGTCGACGTCGCTCACCCAGCCGCCGACGCGACTCGCGGTCTCGGAGAGGGTCTCAGCCAGGATGAGATGATAAGTAGCAGCAGTAGCGGCCGAAGGCAGCGATGGTATTTGTGTTGCAAGGTCTCGACGATGAATGGACAGTTTCGGATGAGAGGCCACAAGGGCCTCCTGAAAGAGGCAAGCGTTTCGCCCAACGGCTTCATGACATAGCCAGCTTAGCTTTACCCTCAGCACTCCCAAGCTGATCCAGAGGGGCAAGGGCTTCCGGTGCTCACGTGTGTTCCTCCATTTCCGGAGAGGCTTGAATCATGGCGGGCAACAGTTCCGAAGGTCTCCTGCTCTCTGGGTCGATCGTAGTCTCGACATTACGGTAAGAACACGGAAGGTTTTCTGGATTCCCAGTCAAGTTATGGCCGGAGCTCTAGCGGCAGCAAGCTTCTAGCAGGCTTTCAGATCCTTTGGAGCATGCAGCAACCTGGTGCGGTACATTGCCAGACTGTTTCTCAGAGTGGAAGTATGTTGCAGACTCAGGGAGGCTTTTTGCTATGCGACCCCTGCAGATGCTAATCAGACCCCAGCTACTGGTAGTGTCTGCATGACCTGTAGAATGCCTTGACTCAACCCCGCATCCCCGTGTCCAATTAGGTGCCGTATGGCCGTATGGCTCGATGCAGATGCTGCACTCAAAGCGGAGTGCAGCAGCTTGTCGTTATAGAGAGGGGAATCCTGAGATTCCCGAAATCATTCTCAAATCCACGCGGCGTGAGCGAGGAACACAGGAAGCCCGCAGGCCGAGTGTTGGAGGCTTCTGGATTCTGGAGCCCTGCCGAGCACCGTCTGCCGCTGAAGCTTGGACTTCCTGATGCTCATGGCCCATGGCTCCCAGTCTTAGGCAGAACTGAGGCTTGAAAGCAAGCATGACAAATTCCAAGAAGCACTGGAACGGTAACGCCTGTGCAAGACTCAGCTCATGGAGGTGCTACAGAAGTCGAAGACATGCATGCACTCAGTCAATGCACGCCATGCAAGTGCAAGCGGGCTCATGCAGCTCAGAGCTGTCCTGGCCCGGCAGGCCAGGTCTCCATGTTTACAACAGCGAGTGCATTGCTTGGACAATGTCCAGGATGGAGGAACCCTTCCAAGCCATGGCAGTGCAGGACCCAAGAATGCAATGGGAAGCAGGGGCTGGGGCTGGCGAGCGTGTGCTTCGGGCGACTTCCAGATTCGAGGCTTCCACACATGCACAAGGTTGCATCGAACAGCAGGAGCTGCTGGGTGGTGCATTCCTTCGTCTGGATGATGGTGATCCCGAGGGTGCTCTGCCTAGCCCTCAGAAGGATTCTTTAGCCCGGCTGAGAGAGAGTTCCAGGCCAGACCGATCGAGGTCCTGCGCACTGCAGGCGCTGTGTTTGAGCGTCCGAGCCCGAGCTCAGTGCGGAGTTGGAGGTCACGGAAGAGGAGGGCCTAACGTATAGGGAGTGTAGGGAGAGAGGCGGGGCCCACGGCGATGGCGGCCGCTGCTTGGAGAGCCTCGCAGCGGGAGTCTGCCCTGCAGGCGGGCGGGGGGGGGCTGTCACCGCGCGGAAGCTCACCGCCGGATCAGCTCTCGTCTCTTGGATCAGCGCCGCAGGTCTGCAGGGAGATTCTGCAGCGTGGAGGGATCCTGGTCGACAGGCCAGGCCCGAGCCGAGAGGGCCGAGAGAGCCGAGAGCCGACAGCGATCGCATTGGCTTGACGGCTTGACAGGGGTCACGGCCAAATCCTCAAGAAGACCTTGGAGGCGAGCCGAGCGAGCATGAGAAATGTCTTTCTTTCTGGTAGCCATGGGCTTGAGATTCTGCTGTAAAGGATGGCTCCTCTGTCGTTTGCACCAAGTGCGGGGCACTTGTCGCCAGCTCGAGGGCAGAGGCACTCTTGCAGATCCTGTTGGGGGTGGCGGAGCCGACTTGCGAGTGCGAGGCTCATCGGTCCTTTTGGTGTCCAAGCCTCCAGAATGACAAGGACGACGAGGCCGGCCGCGTTAGCAGCACTTCGCCAAGTCGCCGGGCCGGATCAGCCGACGTGCTCAGGCCGGGGATCTGCGAGACGATGGCATCGACTGCTCCCCGGCTCCAAAGGGGCAGCCGCCCTTGGCTTGTCCACTCGGTGCTCCGCTGTGAAGCTGTAGGTTCAGATCCGGACTCCATGCAGCTGGACTAGGCGACAAGGTCTCACTAGCAGACTAGCACCCTTCGGCAAAAGGAAGCTAGTAGCTGCAGAGCCGCAGAATAGTGCGGACTGCAGAATTCAACTCTTGCACGGCACGCTAATGTAGCCGCCGGTTGAAAAGACCTGCACAAGGACATGGAGTGTAACACGCTTCACCATCCGCCTGTTCCAACGTTCTCGACAGGTGCAGCATAGAGGTGCAGCATTCAGCTGCAACAAAAGTGTTGACAGTCTGTTGTCCAGTTCGCCCGTAGCAGAAGCTCGCTGTGCCTTCAGTCTCATTCTGGAGTCCAGACTGTTTGAATGTGCTGTGCTGCATCTTCCGCGATTGGGTTCGAGGGGGCTCCGCCGGGAGAGGCGAGGCCCGGCGGCGGAGTCGCAGTGACGATGGCCACAATGGCTCAGCTGTCCGTCGACGAGCTGCAAGCTGCATTACAGGAGCTTGCAGCGATGCTCATGCTGTCGCGGCACGAGGCTGGGGCTCTATATCGAACAACAATCATATGTGATACATGCTTGTAAGTTGTATGCATGGGCTTTGATCCTCTTGGATGCAGGACAATAATCAGGTGTGTGCTATGCCTGCTATGCCGCTATGCATTGGGTCACAGGCACGTTTCTGCATATGTTCTTGAGCGTTGGCGTTCCCACGAGGCTGTCCGACAGGAGCTTCAGAAGCTGCAAACCCGATTCGAGTCAGATCTTGCTGCGGCCAGGGGATTGCAAAAAGCTCCAGCGGCATCGCCAGCACCGGCAGCTGTTGCTGCCCCCGCCGAGGCAGCAGAGACAACAGTGGAAGCCTCCATGCCATGGACGGAGATCACAATGTTTTCATTGGACCTGGGTGATGGCGACAAACCTTTCGTGACCGTCGATGTGAGACTCCGCGGAGTTGAAGCGTTGCCGTCGAAGGATATCACATGCGACTTCACTGACTCATCCTTCGACTTGAAGGTGCTTGGGCTCGAGGGCAAGAACTACCGTTTCCGGAAAACGAACCTTGAGAATAACATCATGCCCGCCGGCTCGGTTTTCAAGGTGAAGAAGAATCATGTGATGGTTTGGCTGCAGAAGGCGAAGAATCAGTTCGACAGATACGACATTTGGCTGGACTTGTGTGGCAAGGGACGACGTAAGTCGGCAGAGGACGATGCGGCTGAACCGAAGACTGGGCCCAACGATGGCATCCTAGACATGATGAAGGAGCTCTACGAGACCGGTGACGACACGACCCGAAAAATCATAGAGCATGGGATGTACCTGGTTTCTGATGTTCATGTTTTTGGTGACTCGTTCCTTGAAGTAGGGTTGCCTCGGATTTCACATTGTGCTGGCGCCGAGGCACCAGGCGAGCCAGGACGGGAAGGGTCCGCCGGCGGAGGGAGAAGGAACAGCAACCCCATCGGCCGATTCAAAGCAGACTGAGGTGAAGACGGAGCAGGCGGAGCAGGCGGAGCAGGAGGAGAGTAAGACTAATGCAGGTCAGACGAACGGCTGCGTGCCGAAGGCTCTCACCGAAGAGGAAATCAAGGAGATGAGGGCTCGTGCAGGTGCCTTTGGGGGCACCAAAACCGAGTGCGGCGAGACAGGGACGGCTCAGGAGCACGAACACCATGACCACGACCACAAGCATGAGCCTACCAACCAGGACAATCCCAACCTCACCGGCATGAGCCAGGGCGAAGTGATGGAGGACAAGGACAAGCTCCCGGTCACTCTCCTGAGCGGCTTTCTGGGCGCAGGAAAGACGACATTGCTCACGCACGTTCTGAACAATCGTGAGGGCATGCGCGTGGCTGTGCTTGTCAACGACATGGCATCGGTGAACATCGACGCGGATCTCGTGAAGGATGGGGTCGAGCTGCAGGAGAATAAGGACCGTGCTGGCATTCATCCCAGCATGCAGCCATGCAGTTCTGTTTTCGAGGTTGTAGCAGCGCAGGCATGGTCCCTTAGCCCATGCTTGGAGCTTGTGCAGGCAGATAAGCTTAGATGTAGACGAAGAAGTGCACAGGACAAAATGGTTGAGCTCCACAACGGCTGCATTTGCTGCACGCTCCGTGAAGACTTGATTGAGAGCGTGAAGTCATTGGCTCTCGAGAAACGCTACGAGCATTTGCTCATAGAGAGTACAGGAATATCGGAGCCGATGCCAGTTGCCACAACTTTTGCGGCCGCCGATGATCAAGGTCGTCCCTTGCTGGGAGGTGTCGCGCGTTTAGATACGCTCGTCACCGTTGTTGACTGCAGAAACTTTTTGAAGGATTATTGCTCCAGCGACAAGTTGGTCACCAGAGAGGAGTTGGGGGCTGAGGAAGGTGACGAGCGCAGCATCGTCAACTTGCTGGTGGACCAAGCGGAGTTCGCCAATGTCATAATCCTCAACAAGACAGACCTTGTCACCCCCACAGAGCTAGGCCGTTTGAAAGGCATCATGACCAAGCTGAACCCAAAGGCTCGTATGATCGAGAGCCAGTACGGGAAGGTGAGCCCCGCACTGCTGCTGAACACAAACAGCTTCAACATGAGGGAAGCCAGCATGGCACCTGGGTGGGCACAAGAACTGATGGGAAATCACCACAAGCCGGAGACCGAAGAGCACCTGGACCCTGATGATTCTGTAAGTACTCTGAACACCATAGCCGTAGCCCCCATCGGCCCCGTAGCTCAAGCGAGCTGAAGCCGCTGAGGTACGGCATCTCCAGCTTCATCTACCGAGCTGACCGGCCCTTCCATCCGGAGCGTCTCACGAGCATGTTGGGCACTTACAGCTTCCCCGGGGTGCTCCGCTCCAAGGGCTTCGCATGGTCGGCCGGGAATCCGGACAACGCCGTGGAGTGGAGCTCCGCCGGCCTCACGGCGGATCTCAAGCCAGGCCCCAGGCCAGGTGCAGCCATGCGCCGCGATGCGTAGCTGCGTGCCCGCCCCCGAAACTCACATAGTAATATATCCCCTGGACATGTGTAAGGTGCAAATCTTCGTGACCTCCTCTTGCCCCGGCAGGTGGCTGGTGGTCACTACGCCGCCGGACAAGTGGCCAGCCCAGGCCCAGAAGTACAAGGACAACCGTTTCGGGGACCGGCGCACTGAGATCGTTTTCATCGGAGCCGACATGGTCGAGTCCGAGGTTCGGGAAGCGCTCGACGGTTGCCTGCTGTCACAGAAGGAGTTCCAGCAACACTTTGGCGGCAAAACAGGGGCACGCCAGAGGTCGTGAGCGGTGAGGCAGCGCCCGAAGCGGCAAATGAGGTGGTGTCTTTCGTTGATTATCTGTCAGTCCATGAGGAATCATGAGACACAAGCTCTTATTCTTTTAATTCACAGTTTTGTACAGAACGGCATGTAGGCATGCCGCGACCCGCCCCGCCTTCGTGGCGTTGAATGAAATTGTTGAACTACCCCATGTTCATTCGTAGTGGGTTGAGATACAACAGCGGATCTGCAGTCATACGACTTCTCATGCCCCTCGGCTCCAAGACAGGGTTGCCATGACAAATCAAAGAGGTCGTCAGTACCGAAAGGCCGAAGGGCCTCAAAATTCAAAACTGCCCACAACTGTGCAGCCGAAATTCAGTTATGCCTTTCATCTACGATTTTCACGTGCCACCTGTGCCAGTGAGGTCGCATTATGACGTCAGATCCGAGGACTCTTCATGCCTTTATAACGCCACCCTCTGTGACGCCACGCATATTTGCGATACCGGCCCCGCGACTCACGGTGAATTTTGTAGGGTGTATAGGGTTCGTGAGAAGACTATTTTACTTCTATTTTGCATATTATAGGTACTTGTTTAAATCGTTGCTCTCACAAAGAAATCGTTCTGGATATGGATGAAATTTAATGAATTTGGTTTTTAAGGAATAGAAAATTAGCATTTATTTGGGATATTTGGACGAGTGATTGAATTATACGATAAGATGGGATTACGTTTGTCATATATAATACTTTTAAATATATTGAATTTTTTTCTCATATTA